TTGGTCAGCTTCCAAAAAAAAGACATGAGTATTTTTTGAAAGTTGAAAAATGTATTATTATTATTGCTCTAATATTTACAAAAACTAGTTTTTAAATAAATAATCAAACACACACGGCTAGCTACCAAAACTTATTTGTAACAAATTACTAAGATCGCAAACCATATCATCCACCTTTAGTTATCCGTTGATATCACTAATTGCACCACCACAACCACTATTGTTAACGACTCTAATTACTATCACCACTATTTACAACGTATAATTTATAATTATCATCATCAGTCAACACCAGCACTAGTCTACCATTCCTCGTCCGATAATCACAACCATTACACATCTCTACCATCAATTACCATATAATTTTTTAAAAATATATATTTTATCAATACAATATTAGATTAATTAATATATTATATGAATTACCTACTAATATATACAAAAATATTATTAATTAAATATGAATTCGTGTGCATGTCACTATCCATGCTTCTGCATTGGGTTCTGCTGGAATCTTAGGCCAAACACATCAACAAAATTATTATTTTTTATTATACCAAAATTGATATGCATTTCATAGTTTAATATTTTTATGCTAATCTTTTATCATGAAAATATCAAATGAACAGCTGGCCATTACCATATGCTTCCATTAGAAAAATGCACTTTTTTTTGTAAATTAGTGATATTAATATACTATCTTTGCCTTTGAACATTTTGGCTATATAAAAGACAAAATTGTTGAACCTTTGGAATTTACCTGTATATTTTATTTAGACACTCAAATTATAATATATTTCAATTAAATACTTGAACACATAATACATATCAACTCGAATAAGCTCGATCGTCTAAGGTTTTACGATTTATTTACACTAATATGTAAAATTAAAGGAGGTGTTTAAAAATGATGATTACATAACGGACACTTGAAAATATGAAAATATTTTTTTCAAAGTTTGAATCATATATTTAAGAGGTAGTCAATATATTTCGCCTTTTTTTGCAAATTATTCATAATTGATGGCTCTTCTTTCTCTATCCCGTCCTCTTTAACATACATGTGGTTAAGTCACCAGTATTCTTTCATTTTTAACCAAAATTTTCGAATTTGGATGTACTCAACATAGTAATAATAATGATCCTATATGTACCAACTTGTTCTCTTTTTAATCCTTCTCCTATTTTTCCTATCCCTTCTTTAAAAAGGGATCTTTTTTCCTTTTATTTAGTATATATATTATAGTAATTTTATTTTTTTAATAGTTGATGAAAATATTGGACATTGAAAAGAACACAAACAAGATAAAAACAAAGGTGTATGCCAGAAAACAAATTCTGTTTAGAAAATGACAAATGTAACACTGGCTATGGAAAAAAGTGGACCTTAAAATTGGAATTTTATCACAAAATCTTGACTAAATAACACTAACTACCAATTTTTTTTTTCTTTTTACTACACTCCACTCTTCACCCACTCACCTTACCTTTTTTTACTTTTTTTTGTTTGGGGGGTTGGTGGGGGGGGGGGGGAGAAAAAGAGCATATTAGCCCAATGGTATGCATAATTTCTCGTACGTTCAGTAGATGAAAATAGCGAAAATAAAGATAATGAAATAAATATGTGAGTATACCAGGGGAGATAGAATTAGAAACGAAGATATTCAAAACAAGGTGAGAGTAACCTATATAATAGGCAAAATGAGAATGACGTCACTGAAATGGTTCGAACATGTGAATAAGAGATGCACAAATGTCCCCAATGAAGAAATGTGAGAGTCAACCAGGGGCATAACTACGTTATAGTCAGGATCTCCAATTGGACACCCTTTGTCCGAAAATAATATCGTGTATATTAGTAAAAGGATATACAAAGTGATTAAATAGCATATTCTGAACAGTCTTGACAGAACAAGGTGTTGTAGTCCAATGATTTTAGATGTCTTGAAAGAGTCGGTGCTTAGGGTGCTCACGTGTTTGAACCTCACTAGCAACAATTTTTATTTTATTTTTCACTTTTTTTTACACACTCCGTGTAATTCCTAGCTCCACCATTGGAGTTAACTATGATAGGTATGAAGAGAGGTAGAGATAAATTGAAGAGGTATTGGCGAGAGAGTAATTAGATTAGACATGAAATATTTGCAGTTTACCAAGGACTGACCCTAGGTAAAAAGATATGAAAGTCAAAAATTAGGATAAAAAATTAATAGGTAGTCAAGCGTTATCTAATTTTCCTTATCGATATTATTACTTCAATTTTATCATTACACGATTTCTTTTACCCCGATTAACATATTATAAATTGTTGCTATTGTTCTTTTCTTTATTTATTTCAAAATAACTTCTTCATTACTGTATTTTCTTTTCATACTAATTTTATTATGTTTTACTAAAGCCCATAGGGGTTGTTGTGATGATATACACAATTTGCATTTTATAAACCTAAAGTGGAAAAAAGGGGCTAATTTCTTCCAATTTTTCATAAATTGAGTACTTTATCCTCTAAAAAGAAACTTTTCAAATTGTTTTCTAATACTCTTAAGATGTACAAATAGACAAATCCATACATTAACAACTAGATCAATCTGATATCTAGATCAGCTTACGCTCGCCTCAATTTATTTCGCTTTTTTTATATATTTTTTGGGGAAAATATGTTCTAGAAAGGTCATTCACATGTATGATGTATCCATAGACACTTTTTAAAGTGGTCTTTTTAAGTAATGGCCACCAATTGTATATGCATACATGAACTTCAAACAAAAACGACTTATCTTCAGTCTTATGAAACTTCAGACACCACATGTCTAGAATTATTCCGAAAAGAAATGCCTTGCAAAATTTTACGCATTGCAAATACGGCTTAAATTGTGCTGCAATTTACGATTCGTGCTATCGAATACGCTGAATAAATCATTATGGCAAAAGTATATACAAAATAGAAATAAGTTATGTTGCTGGATACATACTAAATTTTCAACAAACAATAAACTACAAAATTATTATTCCAAAAGTGCAAATAAGATCTTAAAGGTAGAATACATCAAAATTTTAATAATTAATCAATATCTGCTTATATACATGGCCAAAAAAAAAAAAAAAAAAAAAAAAAGGTCCATGGGCCATAAAATGAAAACTATAATTTAACCAAAAAGATAAGAAATACCAAACATATATAAATTTAGTGCTGCTAACATAATCAAATTACAATTAGTATAACGAAAATTTCAACATAAATGGCCAATATTATGTCAATATTAATTCAAACTACTCGAAAACTCGCTTTTTTTTTATAATCGAGAAATTCTTTTGAAGCCAACCGCTAAAGACCAAACATAGTCTTCGAAACTCTAGGATAATAAATCCGATCTTCTATCCTTCTCCACTCAAATACCAGACGTATTTCGCATGGCTAAGGTCACAAGTCCATCAACATTTGCAACTACAACTAAGCCTTGAGTTTTTTTACCTTCTAGTTTTTACACCTAGTTTGATTACGATCTCAATTACATTTTATGTTTGACTGTACACGAAATTTAAGAAAATAAGAAAAACGGTTGAACCTTGTATAGTTAAACTATAGAGAAGTTACCAAAATATACTATGAATCATGTGTGATCCTAACTACTAAAATATACCATATAGTATGTTTGGAATTAAATATATTACTAAATGTAAAAAAAAAATAGCATTCTTAAAATGAAAGTACATAAATTGTAACACAAAAAATTAGTAGCACAGATATTTATGTACTTATATTTGTACCAATTTTGTTCTTTTTTCTTTCTTCTATTGTTATTTTCTGTACTTGTATATGATGCATTTGGAAAATGTCTCGAAGAGTACCTGGAGGAAGAGTAAAAACACGCGAACTTCACCTGATGAAACGTAGTATTGGATTCGAGTATGAATCCAATACACGTATTTAATTTTTAGTCGGTTTTTAAATCGTATTTTTTGGAGGAATGATTTACTCAAAAACCTTCAGCATGGAGAATATATGTCATTAGCTATTGTATATAGCTGGACTTTTATCCCTCTCAACCCAATCCCTTAACTCACGTATTTTTCACTTCACGAGCTTCACTCTAAACTATCATATAGTGTATTACCATCGACGTAGAGTGCCTCTAGCCACAGTCGAGGGCAGAAAAACTAAATAGAGGATAAAAGACGCGTACCAGAAAGGCGTCAATCGACCCACATCATCATCTACTAGCAATTTTGAATGAACAGGCAATACCTGATTGTCCCTGCGTCAAATAATAACTAAAGATTGGTATAAAAGAACAAAAAAAAAGTTTCTTTGTGATAATGCAAGTACAACATTATAACCTATGATCAAAAATGGGATTTTGGCATACTAATTAGATTTATCAACTTGACTGCAAAGTGATCAAAAAAATTCTAAAATAAGAAAAATTATATCCATGTAGAAAAACCTGTAAAGGCACTCTAGCATTTTGAGCATACACATGGCTTATGTAAGCTCGGACTCTTCAAAAATATCGACGGGTGTGTGTTGGAGGATCTGACAACATTTTTGAAGAGTCCAAACAATATGATTCCCGCATTCATTGCTAAAATTACTCTTACCCCAGGGACATCAACATATAGTCAGGGTACCAACTTAACCTCTTAGATCTTAAATCGAGTTTCGGGTCAAACTCTCCTAACATGCTAGACAGCAGATTATGGCAATATGTATCGATGGAAAGATTATCGAGAGTAATAATTCACAAATAACACAGCATGTTAACCCGTAGATGTAAAGATTGACGAAAATAAATAGCGCATTCACACACACAGAGACAAGATATCTCAACAACAACATCCCCAATGTAATCTTCCAACAAGTGGAGACTGGGGAGAGTAAGATGTACACAGACCTTACCCCTACCTTTGAGAGGAAGAGAGACTATTTCCGATAGACCCTCGCAACACGAGATATCTCAACATAACAACCAAATAACTAAAAGGTACTTTGAATTCCGTGAAATTAAATATGGTATTATATTATACTTGAAATGTGAAGGTATATTGTAATGTATGTCTGTACACGAGATATAGTTCCAAAAGAGTGCCTTGAAATTGCATAATAAAAGAACAACCGATTTTGAATTCTTAAGAGGAGGAACTCATCTGCAACTGTGATATCTACAAGAAAATATGCAAGGGGCACACACTCGTCGTCCTTTTTTCACAAGAATGCGTAAACCCGGAAGTACGTGTATGCATCTGGTACCGCCCGACCAGGAGTTGCAAGGGCAAACCCTGAAATGGCATCAAAGTAGCAAAACGAAGTTACAAAGTATATTGGCCTAAAATGCTATTATTAAAATTTGCAATCCTCACATCCATTTTCAAATTAACATCAATAGGGATTTGGGTCCTATGTCTTATACGTGCATTGTATTACATCTTTTGGGATTTATACAGATCCATATACAATCACCTTCAAAGTAGCTCAAGTAGATAATTACTTTACATAATTCTAAAAGTAAAGCCTCTCTACCCCACAAAGGTAGATAAGGTGTGTGTACATCCTACCCTCGTTAGACCCCACTTGTTATATTGCTAAAAGTAAAGGTGAACACAACCAAATCAATTGCCTCAACAAAGCAGGGAAGAGAGAAAGAGAGTGCAGAAAGCAGAGAGACACACACACACAACAACATACCCAGTGTAATCCCACAAATACCGTGTAGGGCGAATAAAGTGTACGCAGACATATGTGGCTCGAATCCTTCAAAAATGTTGTCGGGTGGGCATTGAATCCTTCAAGAGTTCTTTTTAAGAGGATCTAACATAGATGTAGGCGGTGGCAGCATTGTTGGAGAATCAAAGCAACATAGGTTCCCCCATCTATCCTAGAACTTCTATTTTAAAGATCTTCGGTCTATTTAACAATTACTCATTACTATAATACTTGTGACGCAGGGAGTGTATAAGTTCATCTCTTACCTTCTTTTCTCTTGGATTGATTTTATGTATTTCCTTTGTATTGAATCTTGTTTGGAATATTAATTAGTAAAGTTGTTTCATATTTGTTAGGTCAAACACTTCGAGTTGTTATTCTAATATGTATAATTTAAATTCACCATATCCTTTATTCTTTCTTAGTGTGCTTCTGTATATTTCTTTTGCTTTCACTACCGCAAGACTATCTACTAAAGAGCTTGCACCCACTAAATGAAGGTTTCACTAGCTGGCTGGCAAGAAAAAAAGAAATTACATACAAAGAGCGACTCAAACATGTTTCTTCTCCTTTTGTTATACTGGAGAAATACTCGAGGATTAGTGGGAGCAAAATTCAAGACAATTGATAATGGGTTCATCCTTATATCCTTTTTCAACTTAAGTACCGGGCTTTTTGTCTGCGACAGGATTCAAACTCATGAAGCGCGCGCACACATCACAATCTGTATTTTTAGTGCTAGACTGGCCCTGGAGCCTTTTAGAATAAAGATGAAGTACCTTAACATTTACACCAATTACTATTTTTCGAAAGAATTTCTCCCAACTCTTACACGCCTCTATTCCTTATAGTATGATCCCTGATGTGTACAAAGAATGACCAAAAAAAAAAACTTCATATTTTCCTGACCTATAGACAATACATATATTGCATCTTAATCCAGGTAGCTATCCATTGGAGAAGCGCTAGATTGTCTGAACTACAAAGGCATGAAGATTTGCATCTAGGGAGGAGCTGGAGCCTTTTAGAATAAAGATGAAGTACCTTAACATTTACACCAATTACTATTTTTTGAAAGAATTTCTCCCAACTCTTACACGCCTCTATTCCTTATAGTATGATCCCTGATGTGTACAGAGAATGACAAAAAAAAAAAACTTCATATTTTCCTGACCTATAGACAATACATATATTGCATCTTAATCAAGGTAGCTATCCATTGGAGAAGCGCTAGATTGTCTGAACTACAAAGGCACGAAGATTTGCATCTAGGGAGGAGCTGAAGCCTTTTAGAATAAAGATGAAGTACCTTAACATTTACACCAATTACTATTTTTCGAAAGAATTTCTCCCAACTCTTACACGCCTCTATTCCTTATAGTATGATCCCTGATGTGTACAAAGAATGACCAAAAAAAACTTCATATTTTCCTGACCTATAGACAATACATATATTGCATCTTAATCCAGGTAGCTATCCATTGGAGAAGCGCTAGATTGTCTGAACTACAAAGGCATGAAGATTTGCGTCTAGGGAGGAGTCATCCACGACAATTCAAAGGCAACATATTCTGTTGAGATACATTGCAAATAGTGACAACTAATAAAATGCATATCAAACACTAGTAGTGAAAGATGGCTATATTCAAAAACCAATAGTTCCACTACAATGTATAAATTGGTTTCTGCTTCTAGAAACATAAAAATAGGAACTGCTATCGACAATACCATTGCTTACAAGATGTACACGATGACGTACTCTGTGCAAACTGCAGCATGGGTGTCCTTGGAAACCACAGGTCAAGAACAGACCCCTAAGAAGAAGAAAAAGGAGTTAGTACTGGAAAACAAAGAGACAGCAAACAGAATAAACTCAAAGAAATTTCAGAAGCAAATTAAAATACCTAACACATCAGATCTGGCATCTCTTTTGCATTTCAATTCATCGAGCCACGACACCTGATGAGACAATGCATATAATAACAAAATAAGGTTAAGGCCTTTGCTGATCCTTAACAAACCTAAACAACGAAAGCTTAACTGAAATAGCAGTGTACTAAGACATCACCGGAGAAACAAATGTCTTGGAAAAGAATCAAAGGGTATAATAGTCTATAAACTATCATCTTGTTATAGAGAGATTGTCTTTCGCTATTTTAACTAGCACACAAAGGATAAAGCTAGCAATCAATTTCTTCCCCTGTGCAATACTGTGTTATATCGCGCACACAATAAAATATAGATAAAAATTCAATCATCAACAATAGTCTTATACCTCTTAGAACCACAATTACACGGGATCTTCTTTTCCTCCAAGGGAAACTTGTAGTTGTAAGTTATCTCTTCACCAGCTGCAATATGCCGCTTAGCATATATGAAGATCTTTTTCTGACCCTCAACACTTATAACTTTTGTATAGCAATTTGGCTGCAACATATGTTAAGATCAAGCAGATGACATTATCGAGTTGAAATCCTATGACACTTCATGTCACACAGTCGTAAATTCCAATAGTAAGAAAATCACCTCACAAGAATGGTTTACGAATCTGGCAATACCACCACGTTTTGTTGCATCAACCTTCATAAAACACAGTCAGTTATTAAGAAATGCCTGCTCAATCTTTATGAAATTAACAATTTTTCATAATATGCAGCACATTATGACTATTGGTTCAAGATCGGATTAATTAGAGCCTGTTTGGATTTGGTTTATTTTAAGTGTTTTTAAGCCAAAATAGCTTTTAAGCACTTTTGGAGTGTTTGGATAAATTAAAAAAGTGCTTATAAGCACTTGGTTTAAAGCTAAAATGATAAAAATAAGTCATAAGTTAGAATTTCTAACTTATGGCTTATAAGTCAAACTAAAAGCCAATCCAAACAGGCTCTTAGACTAGATTCCCAGCAAAATTGCATAAACTGGAAAAGCATTCCTTTAGCTTTAGCATTACACAAAAAGCTATCACAATTCACTTGCAACCCCTGGTAATGTGAGAATTGCATCCACTATTCCAGAAACACACAACAGCGATTTTGATTACAAGATTAAGCAATGGCTTTCAGATTCAGCAAGTAAAACACCTAAATCCTTAGGGTTGTTTGGTGAGAGGGATTAGAAAAACTAATCTCATCATCAAACCTCGCACAGAATTATGCAGTGTTTGGTTGGCCATATAAGAAAAATAATCTCAAAAATAATGCAAAGTTTGTTCAACGGTATTTAAATAATTACCGCACTAGCTATGCAGGAATCTATGTATCATTTTATGCGGGATAGAATGTGTAAATGGGGATAAAGTATTTAAAGACAAATATTTAAAGACAAAGGTACTCTTAAAAAGCAAGTATTTCCTAAATACCATTCCTTGTCTTATTATTCACACTCAGCTTGCGCTACTCCTAACCCTGAGGGGTAGCTCAGCTGGTAAAGGCCTGGGACAAAGTCCTTCAGGTCGCCGGTTCGAGCCCCAGCAGGGCCACTGGAGGCATTACAAACCGGCCGCGTCTCCAGGGCCCCGTGGAACTAACCGTGGTGGACCCGCCTTGAAACAGCGGGACCCGGTGGGTACAGCTAGTCGGGTTCGCAAAGCGACGCCCGGAAACCACGGTAAAAAAAAAAAAAAAAAAAAAAAAAGCTTGCGCTACTCCTTGTATCTTTTCTCCGGGTGGTTTTGGAGAACATCAACACACAATTTCATTTCTCGACATTATTAAACATACCTACTGTATTCCTACAAGTGGAGTCTAGGGATGGTAGAGTGTACGCAAACCTTACCCCTACCTCTGGATAAAGAGGTTTTTTTTAGACAGCTGGATAGAGAGGTTGTTTCCAAAAGATTCAACATTATTAGTCATTGCATAAAAGTCCATCAATATTAATCACCGCATAAATAATCCTCGCATGTGAACCAAACAACCCCTTAAATTACAACCTATTTAAAACTAAGCTCCTTGAGGTACACATGCATGGAGAACATTATGAGAAGTTAAAATTCTCCTTGATATCCCACCCCTTGGGTACGTCCCTGCGTCAACACGGGATACTTTTTGTACCAGGCTGCCCCTTTTTTCAATCCCACATCCAATCTTTTTAAGGATATAAGCAATTAGAAATCACCAAAGAAATATTGGACCTTCAACGTGGCCATTGGTTCATGGAAAACTTAAACCTGACTCTTACAAGTAGAAAAGCCAAAAAGCTATTTATCCTAGCATTAAAATTGATAGGATCTACCGTTCCAAAGAAAAAAAATGAATAGGATCTGATCACCTATTTTTGCATTGCTCTACTGCAATGAGATTTTGTTGGGAGTACTGGAAAGACTTATCAATGAGCTTCTTACAAACAGATTTTGGGCCATTAAGAAGAAAATAATGCCTTCTTGCTTCTATAACATGATCTTCTCAAACACACAGTACAGCAAGAACATTTCAACAACAATAAATGGCAATCAAATTGGGATAACAAGTTATCCTAGCATCAGTTTGATCCAAGAGTAATGGCTTTTAGGATAGATATAGACAGACAGAGCACAGCTAGAATAGAATTTCTACTTCATTTTGGTTTTGGCCGACTTAAGGTTAAAAGGCATTTCATCCTAACCTGTGACTCTTTCTTTTCAGAATTTGTATAAAAAAATAATTCTATCCAAAATAGAAACATGAGAGGAATCTACTTCATCAAGTAAATTCTATAAGAAACTGAATTCTCCAACTACTTGCTCACCACATAATCATCATCCAGTCTGAAAAGGTAACTGCTCCCAATTCCTATCTTCTCATAATAGTGCTCTCGTATGTCAGATACCTGAGAATCTCAAAAAGGAGAGGAGTAAGATTTCAAATAATGAACACTTGAGATCAGTGTTTCAGACAATCAAACAAAATCACTAGTACACAAATAAACAAAGCTAAGACACCAAAATGCATGAAGAAAACTTGCGGCAAAAGCAGCAAGCTGGAATGTACTTCAGGTTTGGAAGCAATGCTCTTACACGACGACGTATAAGCTCTCCAACATATTCAATGACAAAGTCTTCAGCATCAATAGGCTCAAGGGCAACAAGACCCCAGTCATGTATCTTACTTTGTTGGAAGCGAAGGCGCTTCTTCCTAGCCTACAAAAGACGTAGATGAATATGTAACTTGTATATAACCAAAAAAAAAAAAAAAACTAACATATACAAATCGCCCGTGCTGAGCACAAGCCCAAGCATTACTTTGAACACAATTTACTAATCAAACTCTTGACTTATTTTTTTGTTTCAGATAGTTAATCAACAATCAATGCACAAAGTACATAAGTTTTATCAATATCCTTTTAATAATGGGCATTATAAATTATTTCAGCAATGTTAACAATTCAAAAAACAAACAACGATAAAACATTATTGGACACAATTCAAAAAAAAAAATCAACAGTAGGGTTATTATTAATTAAACGATTTGTAGTATCGTAAGAGGTTCTTTTTAAAAATTAAGTTATTTTTAAAATAAAAAAGCAAGGCTTTGAAGCCGCATAAATTTTCCACTCCTGTTTTACAAAATAAGAGAGGACTAATATGATGCTCTCTATTAAATAATTGGCTTTTGTTATATTCTTGGTGATTCTTCCTTTATCAGTTCTCCTTTTTAGTAATCTTTTTGGTGCATAATAGTTAAAAAGGAAAAACTTATCCTTCCATTATCTTTCAAACTTCAATAAGATTTCCTTTCCTTTATAGCTACTAAGATGTTACTGTTCGCTAAGTTTAAAAAGTCCAAAGAGCTCTTCACTGAAAGATTAAAGTTGAAATATGGAAGTGATGTATAGTACCTCAATACATACATATTCATTAATGACATTCAAAATTTAAAGAAGTATCTATGGAAAAAAAAGAAGTAAAAGGAGCAACTCAGATGCTTAATAGACATAACTTTAAAAGGATATTTTTAAAAAAGTTAAAGATTTATAAAAAAAATTAATGGGGAAAAAAATTGTACATGATCTGTCAAAAGAATGTAAAATAATAAATGGAGTAATATCTGTCATCATTTGAAATGAATGTAAAATGACAAATGGAGTAATATATGTCATCATTTGAATTAGAGATGAAGTATCTAAGTTACAAAAAAACTAATTAAAATAAGTTGCATGACCATAAGCCCCTCAAACTAAATTTATATACATACTTGTCCCTTTTTAAAACAATAATGAATATACAAATGTCACTGTCATAGTGCATATGATGTCACTGCCTTGAATGCTTTTGGGGCAAAAAAAATGAACCCAAACATTGCTAAATTTATCAAAGTGCACAGGAGACTTTATTGTTATTAAATGAAGTGAAAAAGAGGGGTAAAACAAGGTATTATAAAAGAGGTAAGAAGGCTTAACAGTTAAATGCATTTCAAAAGCTGCAGGTGGGATCCATTTCCACAATAAGAAGAAAAAGAAGAATTTTGCCAACTTGAATATGAATATGAACTACGACAAGGAAAATCAATCCTTAAAAAGACAAACATTGAATTGCTCTCGTGTAACATATCCGGATTTTCTTTGTCTATTGACTGAGTTCCCCTTTTTAGTTTGTGTTTTTCCAATATGTTAGATGTGGAGATGAAGGTCCAAAGCAGGAGCTAGCATTCAAATGTGGGCGGAACTTCACTCTTTTTTAGGAGAGCTGCCTATGTACCCTCTCTTTTCAGCAAGAAAAGAAAAAGAATAAAGTCCCACGTAGTTCACAGTTAATCAGCCCACACAGAACCATTAGTCTTTGACAAAAGTCAAAGGGCATATTTATTAAAGAGGATGAATTCTTTCAAGTAAGCTACAGTAAATCCATTTGAAAGCCAATAGAATTATTTTAGTTTATTGAGTTACATCATAACCCAGTATCTGAAGGCTTTCCCGTCAAATCACGTTGACGGGAAGCTCCTCTCTTTCTCCCTTATTAATTGTAGTAAAGTTAAAGAAACACATATAACAAGGCAAATTCTCATGTTACCTTCAATTGAGTAGCTTTCAAGAGGTCAGCACCCTCGGCAGCAGCAAGGAGGTTGCGCAACTTAACCCTATTTGTTCTTGCAGAAAGTCCCTTAACATTTAACATTTGAGAACCATTAGCATCTGAACTAACAGATTGTATATGAACAACCTTAGTTCCCCTAACACGAGCCCTTTCGGCAGGACTTGCCCTCAACGACCATTTACGCCACTCCCAACCATTGATCGAAGTTCGAGCACAGCCAACTGATTGTGAACAATGTTTTGCTATCCGGGATTTACCCTTCTGGTTCTTCTCTGGAGTAGCCACCTTTGTTGCAGCTTGGTTGCCAACACCACTTGATTGTCTCTGAAATTTTCTTGAACGAGATGCTGTCAGATTATCCTCTAGTTTTCTCTTTTTCAAATCCGGTAATTTGGCTGCTGCTTCAATAGCCCAACCAAGACACATATTAATGAGGCAATAAACATGAGAGATCATGTGAACACTGATAACATAGAAAAAGGAAAAATAGAGCATCAATTTAGATGAAATGTAAACACTAACATTTAGGAGTCTTCTTCGAACAAGAGGGTGGTTGCATTTCTTGAGTGCCCAATTCCCTGTTTGCAACCTCAGCCACCTTTCCATCACCACTGGAGTCCGCAGCAACTAAAGTAGCCTTCAGTTTACTGTGGCCTGTATTACTTCTCCCTGCAACACAATTCAGTACAGTATGACAAACATGACTAATTAATATAATGTCTTATTCTGGTAACATCTGAGAAAACTAACTCAAGAAAATTGAAAGACCTCGGGAAACAGATGCAACTTTCTCTGAGATGGTGTTAAAATTAATAACCGATGATGGAGGAACAACTAAAGACGCATTAGTGAATAACTCTTTGTGACAATCTTTCAGCCCAATTTCCTCAACACATAAAGCTGCATTGTCACCTTTATTGATCTCTGTTTCCTCCCCTAAGTGATCTTGCTTCGTTGACTTGTTAATAGTTCTTTTTTTGAAGCCAATGTTTCCATCAACCATCCCATTATCACTGGAGACCTCAGTGACATTAGCAGCCTTCAGTTTTTTGCGGCTTGCATTTCTTCTTCTCGCTGCAAAATTTTAAACAGTATGATAAACATGATCAATAAATAAATGTCCTTTTCTAATAAAATATGAAAAAACTAACTCGGGAAAACTGAAATACCTTGGGAAACAGATGCGACTTTCTCTGAGATAATGTCAGAATTAATAACAGATGATGGAGGAACAATTAAAGACACATTAGTTAACAACTCTCTGCGACAATCTTTCAGCCCAATTTCCTTAACATTTAAAGCTGCATTGTCACCTTTAGTGCTTTCTGTTGCCTCCCCCAAGAGATCTTGTTTCCTTGACTTGTCAATAGATCTCTTTTTGAAGCCAACATCTTCACCAACCTTCCCATTATCACTGGAGACCTCAGCGACAAAAGCATCCTTCAGTTTTTTGCGGCTTGCACTACTTCCCCTCGCTGAAAAATTTACAACAGTATGATAAACATCATCTATAATATAATGTCCTTTCTGGGAACATTTAAAAAATCTAACTCAAGAAAACTGAAATACCTTTGGAAACAGATGCAATTTTCTCTGAGATAGTGTTACAATTAGTAACAGATGATGGAGGAACAACTAAAGAAGCATTAGCGAACAACTCTCTGAGACAATCTTTCGGCCCAATTGCAATGCCATTTAAATCTGCATTGTCAACTTTAGTGCTCCCCGTTGCCTCCCCCAAGAGATCTTGTTTCCTTGACTTCTTGCTAATAGATCTCTTTCTGAAGACAACGTCTCCATCAACCTTTCCATTATCACTGCAGACCTCAGCAACAAAAATGGTCTTCAGTTTTTTGCGGCTTGCATTACTTTTCCCCGCTGCATAATTTAGTACAGTATGGCAAACATGTCTAATAAATATAATGTCCATTCTGGTAACATTTGAGAAAACTCAGGAAAACTGAAATACCTTTGGAGACAGAAGCAACTTTCTCCGAGCTAGTGTTACAACTAATAACCGATGATGGAGGAACAACTAAAGAGGCATTAGTGAACAACTCTCTGCGACAATCTTTCTGCCCAATTTCCTTCTCACTTGAAGTTGCACTGTCACCTTTAGTGTTCTCTGTTGCCTCTCCCGAGAGATCTTTTTTCTTTGACTTGTTTAGAGAACTCTTTTCATAGCCAATGTCTCCACCAGGGAGAGGCTGCGATGAAGAGCCTGACTTTCTTTTAACCATCTTTTTCTTTCTGTAATATGTATATTTCCCCACTGCTGTAGGTACCTTAGGAAAACCATCCCCACTTTTGCTTAATGCATCTGGAGATTTATCACGTGTCTCATCACCCGCTTTGCTTCTTGTAACCTGACAAAGCAAAAGTAGCATTCAGAAGAGCTTAACTCTTTACACTGAGGAAATTTAATCTCTAAATTTAGGGGAAGAATCGACTCTCTGAACTGAGGGGAAAAAATTAACTCAGTGAAATGAAAAAAAATTAACTCTTTGAACTGACAGTTTTAGAAAACCAACAATTGCACTTACCGGAGAATCCTCTGATTTACTACATCTCCTCGCAGAAGACGAAGTTGTCAAAAAGTTTCTAATTATATCATCAACAAGAAAACTTTTCAACTCTCTCAGTGCTTTCTCATGTACCCTCTGCCGGCAATTTGACAGGGTCGCATACCATATTATTCTCAAAATAGAATCATCAGACGTAGCAAGTCGAACTTTAGAAGTTTGTACAGGAACAGCTTCGCATTCAGGTGGTTGCAGCTCATCAGTCATTTCATTACTGGAGGCATTGTCTAAACCAGCAGACTTCTGAAATGCCCTTGAAAACCAATCTGACACAGGAATCACATATGGATCAAGAGAGTTCTGGTGCAATGATTTTTTGCGCGAGGAAGTATTCTGAATATCAACATGAGTTAAATTTTCTGACACCAAAATGGCCTCAGAAGAGTCATTTTGACTTGCACCGCCATTAAAAATCTTTGGGTCCTCAGCAACCTGCAGAATAAAACTGTTCCTTGAGATGCTGAAGTTCATTATATTGCGGTAAGCATTGGCATCTCGAATTATACAGGGGAAACTTTATCAGGTAAAGGATTACTTCAACAAAATCTCTCCACCACCTATGCACTTCTAGGGGAGGGACAAAGTTTACACAGATCACAGCAAGTTCAAATATTCACCTTGATTATCACGCCATCTTTAAGCGAATCAACTTTTCCCATCACCTCTTCATGCAAAAGGCTAGTGAAATAATCTTCCAAGGACATCTTTGCAGACAAGTGGAGTTCATCAAATACACTCTCAAGGATAGGTTGCATACAATCATCAGCTTCAGGGTCCGTTGCATGACTGGATCTCGACAACACCTTTTCATCATTAAAAGGTGATGAAACTGAAGGCAAATCCACTGTCATATTCTTCTCCTCAAACCCTGGAGGGAAATCAAGATCACAGCCGAAAGATTCTTGCTCCACTTGCAACTGCAACGTCATAAGTCCGTCTGTAAGGAAGCACACACAACCACTGCAAATTGACAGGAAAAACAACAGCATAAAAAAACTTACAACTTCAGTAGAGAGCTCCACGGTGCAATCTTTTGATGACAAAACTGAAGGCAAATCCGCTGTCAAGTTCTTCTCCTCAAACCCTGGGGGGAAATCAAGATCACAGCCAAAAGATTCTTGCTCCACTTGCAACTGCAAAGTCACAAGTCAGTCTGTAAGGAAGCACACACAACCACTACAAATTGACAGGAAAAACAACAGCATAAAAAAGCTTACAACTTCAGTAGAGAGCTCCGCGGTGCGATCTTTTGATGACGAAACTGAAGGAATATCTGCTGTCATACTCTTCTCCTCAAACCCTGGGGGAAAATCAGGATCACAGCCAAAAGATTCTTCCTCCACATGCAGCTGCAAAGTCATAAGTCAATCTGTAAGGCAGCAGCGACAGCCACTGCAAATTGACAGGAAAAACAACAGCATAGAAAACCTTACAACTTCAGTAGAAAGCTCCACGGTGCAATCTTTTGATGACGAAACTGAAGGCAAATCCACTGTCACATTCTTTTTCTCAAACCCTGGGGGAAAGGATTCTTCCTCCACTTGCAACTATAAAGTTATAGGTCTGTCAGTAAGACAGGATACGCAAGCACTGCAAAATGACCCCAAAAATCAGCATAAAAAGCTTACAACTTCAGTAGAAAGCTTTGTGGTGCAATTAGCATATGATATTGCTGGAATGTTCGATTCAACCATCAGACAAGGAGGTGACCATCGTTTTCTCTTCCTCCACGCAGATGAATACTCTGAAACATGGTCATAGAAGACAGCATTCCAGATATTTTGCATGCAAGAGTCAAATAATTTCCTGCAAACAACTGTATAAGAATCACAATAGTTCTCAAAGCTTCCAACAGATTTTGAGCTTCCTGAAGACTTCAAAGGGATTTCAGCAGCAGGAGATTTCCGGTTAAGAAGATTAGGAGCTTCTGCACTCCTCTCAGGATCAATTAAGGCCTTACTGCCACCAAAACCTGCAGACTGTTCACATAAATGATAAGTAGCATGCAAGATTCGAAATTTCAATTCCACTCACTTCTATTTCATGCTTGAACGTTATTTACCATTCTGGTACCAGGAGATGACATCTTGACAGACTGATTAGTGACTTTCTTTTGATTAGTGGCTTTCTTGAGATCTTTCTTTTCAGAGATGCACTCTGAAATTGCATGGCTAACAATCTCATCAAGTAGAGTCCTACGGGCTGCTTTCATAATAACCATATGTAGCTGGGAGCATACTTCTTGAGAAATTTCGGATACAAAATCTTGTAAAGATGCAGTCTCATGCCCATCGGGATTAGACAAAAAGAGAGCTCCAGGGGTAGCCGTAGTCCAACTACTAATCAAAGATTTCAAACTAAAGGGTCTATACTTATCAGCAACATGATGTATCTGCAAAAGTCAACATCAATGAGCAAGCAATAAGCACATACCACTTAGGTGTAGTATCACATAGCTTGAAAGAGTTGGACAATCTCCAATGAAAACAAGCAACGAGGGAAAAAAAGGTCAAAATCCTCAAATCAACACAAAACCAGTTAAAAGAAAACTTAATTGGTGCTTAGTTACCATGGCTCTTCTATGGGAACAAAAACTTGAAGAAACTTGTAAAACTTAAAATAACCTACTAAATGAGGCAAATAGGTATTCATAGAGAAGTAAATGTACCCAAAAAAATCAAGTAGAAGCCCTAATAAACACTGAAGCAATTAGTTCAGAAACCTAAGTAAAAATTAAAAGCAACTACTTAAAAGAGTAGAATTCTCTGGTGATTATCTCTATGGTTGCAAATGACCGAACTCTTCGATTTTAAACTCATTAATAATTGGTACCATGAACTGTCTTTCCAACGGTCTAGAACCTAAATTAATAGTTAAACTATATGAGGCTTAAACAAAGGGAAGCAAGTTGAAACTCATGGTATAATTAAAAAAGGGGAAATAAAGTTAAACTGATGTGAAGATTGGTGAAGAAAAGAGGAAACTACTTCACAGAATTGCTTAGTTAATTTTGGGTTCAGTTCGGAGAGTGCAGCGTGGAACAATTTATATAAAAGTACAATAGACTAACAGTTTGTAGATAGACCTTTCCAAGTTTTGACAAGACCATTAACCAAGCGACAAGCACAAAGAATGTAGGAAAATTATGCCAAATTCAAAATGGCAAGTTTGGAGGATATCGGAAGATGAGTGAGAATATAATCCTACAGATAAAATGGGAAGAGACTACGGGTTAAGTAAGGCCAAATTGACACAAGCCGGGAGGAAGAAAAAGACAACAAGAACAATAGAGATCCGACGAGCCCATACAGAAACAAGAACAGGATGCTTTTTGGAATATGCAAGAAAGTATGGTAATAGAACTTAGCACAACAGAAATTCTGAGAATTCACCTTTACAGAAATGAATCCTATTAAGTTCCCACTGTATGAACAACGTTATCACAAACAAAAAGGCTCCATTTCCTAGGTTGTTCATAAAAATAATATATACAGCCACTCCCCACCTCCCCAAGTTTGCTTCTATAGTAAAAAAATTATATGCACTCATAAAAATACTTATATTCAGACAAAAGAGTTCTCTCAGTTTTTATACTTCGACTAAAACCCAGCCATATCTAATTTAAAAAAGTTAAGTGATCAGTAGCAGTGTAGCAGCTCAATCGAGGGATTCCACCCATCAAAACCGGGTAAACTGTTTTACATATGTTCAGTTTACATATAGCCTATAGCTCAGAAAATCCAATTGTACATCCAACATAATAAAACAAACATCTTCCAACAGAAAGGCTGGGATAGTAGGAGAAACAGCTGCACCATGTACTACAGAGCTAAATATAGGACCTAGAAAAATGCTACGGAAACACACACTCACCATCACTGAATCCACAATGTATCCATAATGACACCATGAATAAAGCTCCATAAGAGAGTGCGGCCCATGTTTCGTCCCTTCATGATCTTCAAAGAACCAACACGATTCTTCGTTGACCTATTTCACACACAATTAAGCAAAGAAAGTCATAAGAAGGGAATCGAAATTGCAGAAAATACAAGAAGTCTATTTGTCCTCCATCAAAACAATAAAAGTCTGTTTGTCTCCTCCAGATTACATAATTACATTTGTTGCAATTTGTGAATAGCAAGTAATTATATTTTTGGTCTCTACGAGAGTCAATTTCTTTTTCTTTTTCTTTTTCTTTTTTTGGAGAAAGGTGACACCTCTAAGAGAGAGTAGAGACAAAGTTACACACAACGGCTTGAAGAAGCAAGTAATTAAAAAAGTATCACCACAGAACAACACAAATCCTTAAATGTAAAAGAGAAAGTACCGAAGAGGTAGACGGAGCAAATGTTCCGGCAGAGCCAGCGGTCACCATCTGTTGGTTCGAGTAATGAGTTCCATGTTCAGCCACCGAGTTAGAATAGGGGGATGTTGTTGGCAACTCCACTCCATTTCCTCCTGAATCTTTGGCAACTCCCATGGACTTATCCGTCGGTCCACTTGCACCAGAGGACGAAACCATTACATAAGCAAAGCCGGTCGCAACATGGTCAGGAAATTGATTGAAATACTTTAAGGGCACTGCATTCGAAATGGTCCCGTTTAAGACGGGATAAACGTGAAGTTCTTCCGGCAAAAAACCAGTAGACAGACCCTCATATAACTGTTCCTTTATGTAAGGACCACACATTTGACCCTGTTCATTGACATACATCCATCCAGTTGCAAGTACACCTTGTGGATACACCACGCTACTCTTGTCAATCGTTGAACTGCCACCGACATCACGAGACGTTGAAACGTTCTCACTCTCTCCATTAGACTGGCAACTCATCTCAACACACAATGGTGAACCAAAATTTTGCAAGCAACTGATAATATCACACCAAACCAAAAAAAAACATAAGAATTAATAAAAGTATAAAATAAGAGTTAAAAGGGTCAAAAACACACCTAAAGTATTTCGATTTTTTGAGTATCATACCTGAGCTATGAGGTGTGTTGAGATAAAAATTTAGTGATAGTACACATAGGAAACTCACCCACCTAGTAGTTCATGTATGAAACTAAAAAAAGGATATTTTAGCTGTGTTTACACCCTTCACTCTATAAATAATTTGGTGTGTGAACACAAAACTAAAAAATACAAACTTCATCGAAAATAGACAATACCCAACAGTTAACTCCATTGTAGACACTACATCATCATGTTTTTCATCCTCAATAGTATCCATTGAAGTTACATCCATTCCCATCAAATCTAAAGACTTTAATCTCTTTCGTGAGTAAAACGGAGGATAATCCATCTCTGTTTCACTGGATTCATAGCAAAACATCGAAGACACCATAACTTTCAACAACAAAAAATCACCAACCCTGAAAAAAATGCAATCTTTTTTACACAAATTCAACCCCACAATCTAAAATTGAATAATTCCAAACATACATCGCAAATTGGAACAAAAATCGAGATGGGTATGAAGAAAACCAACCTATTATAACTTTTGCTGATATGGGGTCAATGAAAACCGAAAAAATCCAAAGGATACCACTGCGATAACCCTACAGAGCAAATCTTGGATGTGTAGAACAAGAATTTCTTCTAGGTATTGATAAAATTGCATATAGAAGTAACCCTTTTAGGGAAAAACAAAGATTTTGTGTGAATTTGTCTGTGAAGGATTGGTAAAGAAGCAGTGAGAGAGGAGGGCAAAAGGGGGTGAAGAACTTAAGGTAAGAGTAAAATAAAAAGAAGAAAAGCAAATACTAAGAGATTTTATTTTTTTTTAATAAATTGAGGTACGAAAAGGGGAAATGGATGTGGAAATTACAAGATCAAAAATCGAATATGTTAAGTGAACGGCTTATGGCCCGTTTGAACATACTATATGAGATTAGATTATATGAATCTGAATTCATGATTGGACGTATAACTTCAATTTTTTAAATTGTATTTTTTGTTATAATATGAAAATTCATAAATTGTGAATTTTATTTTTTTTTCATTTTTATATACTATTATCAAATGAGTGAATTATAGTTCATTGGAAAATTTCTCTGTGTAACATGAACAACAGTGAGGAGTATATGGCCATAAATATTGTATTAGAACAAAGTCAGAACCTAACTTCTGCACCAGTTTAACTCTATATAAAAAATATTTCACTTACCAAAAAAATATATGCATAAGCATAAATGAGAATTAAATACTATTTTACTCTATTTGGAATTCTTAAAGTAAGAGTTGGAGTAGAAATTGTTTGAAGGTACTTTTTATAATATAATGTTTAAAATTTAAATGTATTTTCGTAATTACTATTTATGCGTTCTGTTTTTAAAAACTAGCAAAATCATCAAATTTGACTAATTTATCTTGAAATATGTAATCAAGTCTACTACAAGAGAGTAACATCTCAAAATAGATAGATACATAATGTTAGTATTAGATTCATGTACGAGCTACTACATATTATTACCATTTATTTTCCACTGTTGAAAATTTTAAAAGTCAAAGTTAAAGATGAATTTGTGTGATTATATTTTTGCAAAGAATATTTAGTTGTTTGAATATACTTTTCTTTAAAAAGAAACACCAAATATAACTAAATGAATAAAGGAAAAACAATTTTTTGAGTGTTCTCCAAATTTTAAATACAATTACGTTATATCTAATTTTTTTAATAATCAAATATCAATTTTCAAATAAAGTAAAAAAAATCGTAAACAAATAAATAATTTTTGTGAACAAACTGGTTCCAATTGACTTCCAAAAGTATAGGGAGAATTAGAGTCGTCAAAATGTGCTTAGCCCATGGGGCAGGTCCAACCCAACCCGTTATTAGGGTAGGGTTGGGATAGAGTTTTTCAAGCCCAATCCATATAAGCATTCGGCCCTTAAGGCTTGATTGGGGTCGGGTCATGGACCAAACTATTTATTTGAGGGAAAAGGCTTAAAAATGCCCTTAACCTATTAAAAATGATTCAAAAATGTCCTCCTTCCACCTATTGATTTAAAAATGCCCTTAATGTTTTTTTTAGGTTCAAAAATGTCATTTAGCTAACAAAAATATGACATGAAATTTAACTAAGCAAATGGCCAATTTTCATTGGTCAACAAAATTATTTTATCAAATAAAAAAATTTCACCCAAACCCGTTTTCAACTGGCACTTCATGCGACCTCTGTTCTTTCTTCTTCCTCTATTCCTTTCTCTGTTCTTTCTTCAGCCTCTTTTATTTCTTTAAAAAACAACAATTTTCATTCCCAAAGTAGCTAAGTTGCATTAATTAACTTGATAAAAAAAACAACTAAATTGCAGCATGTAGTAAACTGCAGCTTTTAAGCCCAAAAAAGAGTAACTTTCAACCCAACAAACAACAATTAAAATGAAAGCTTGAAACCCAAAAAATAACAGCTAAATGTAGATTGTAAACCCCCAAAACAACATTTTAACCCAATAAATAGCAACTAAAATGCATAGTAATATTAATCATTGATGCCGCAAGGTGGGAATTTACATACAAAATTCATTCGCATCCACATTGTGAAATGATTTACAATCAATCTTCAAGAACTATTACACGATTAACCTTGACTAAGAAACTAATCTTTTATACATTAAATAGGAAGAAAGAAAACACAAATTAAATAAAAAGGGTAGTGAGGAAAAGGGGAAGGGGACGAAAGAAAGAAGAGAGACAAAAGTTGGGTTAGATTAATTTGAAATAGGTTTGAGTGTCGGGTTTGAAATGGGTTTGGGTGGGGTTTTTTTATATTTGATAAAATAATTATGTTGACCAATGAAAATCGGCCATTTGTTTAGTTAAATTCAATATCATATTTATGTTAACTAAAGGGCATTTTTGAACCATTTTCAATAGGTTGAGGACATTTTTGAACCTTTTCCTTTATTTGAGGATAACTTACAACAATCTCACTAATATATGAGATAATTACTTAAATGCATGTTATGTTATATATAACGAATCTTACCAAATTTTGGTATGTCTAGATACATGTATCTCGGGATATATGAACTCAAAATTAGGTTAATTTTTTCTAGATACTCATACACTCTTCAAGTGGATTCGCATGTATGTAGGATACATAGACAAATCTCTCGCTCTCGCCTCCCTCCCATCTCGCTCGCCACTTTCTTATCTCGCTCGTGTATCTCGGATGCATCACACCAGATACATGTATCTCGCGTATCTAGTATCCTAGATACATGTTAATCACACTATATTTTTTTTACTATTGTTAGTAAAAACAACACCATTATTTGCAATATTTGGTTTGAAAATCTTCTCATTTCCTTAATATTATATAATTTTAAGTTTGAAAAAAAAAAAAGGCTAGCCCACCCCAGCCCTCAGCCCTTCTAGGGTTGGGTTGGGTTGAGCATTTTCAGGCCCTTCCAAATGAAGGGTCGTCCTCCCTAGCTCATCAAATTCCTTGTCCCGCGAGGCTTGGCCCGAGTAGGGCTAAGCCAACCCTTTTTGACAACTCTAAGGAGAATCGAGCGGTGCAAAAAGGATAAAATTCATAATTATGCTATTCCACATTTGAAAATGAGTATTATTAATTAATTTTAAAATTATTCAATTTCACTATTTGTATGAAAAATGATGGAATTAATTGTTAAAAATTGAGATAGCTTATAGTCTAAATTTTTTAACTCAGTGAAATATCTTTATTTTATATTATTTCATATTCCAAAAATTTCGATGTTACTTTTTAGAGAAACTTTCACATATAGCCACTCAAAAATAGCCTAATTACTCTTTATAGCTATAGTTTGATAATTACAATTTGTAACTACATGTTATAGGGAAGAGAGAGGCGAGAGAGAGGGAGAGAGAGGGAGAGAGGTGAATTGTATATGTATATCGGTTAGATAATTGTATATTATACATATGTATTTGTATATATGGAAAGCGAGATTGGGAGAGGGAGGAGAGAGGCAAGTGAGATTGGGAGACGGAGGAGAGAGGCGAGCGAGAGAGGGCAGAGAGTGGGAGAGAGGTGAACTGTATATGTATATTGGTTAGATAATTGTATATTATGCTTATGCATTTGTATATATGGCAAGCAAGATTAGGAGAGGGAGTAGAGAGGCGAGCGAGATTATGAGAGGGGGAGAGAGGTGAGCGAGAGAGGGGAGAGAGTGGGAGAGAGGTGAATTGTATATGTATATTGGTTAGATAATTGTATATTATACATATGTATCTGTATATATGGCAAGCGAGATTGGGAGAGGGAGGAGAGAGGAAGCGAGATTGGGAAAGGGAGGAGAGAGGCGGCGAGATTGGGAAAGGGAGGAGAGAGGCGAGTGAGAGAGGGCAGAGAGTGGGAGAGAGGTGAATTGTATATGTATATTGGTTAGATAATTGTATATTATACTTATGCATTTGTATATATGACAAGCGAGATTAGGAGAGGGAGGATAGAGGCGAGTGAGAGAGGAGAGAGAGTGGGAGAGAGGTGAATTGTATATGTATATCGGTTAGATAATTGTAATATATATATATATATATGTATTTGTATATTCTGTCGAATTATACGTATACAAACGTGACTAATTATACAAATTCGAAGTCAGCCCACGTAATTAATGTATAATGTTAGTCGCGAGTGAAAATTATAGCAAATTATAGCTATGATGAGTAATTAAATAGTATAAGTTTGCTTAACCGCGTAATTTTCCCTACTTTTTTATAATACATTGGAAGGTTATTTTATAATAACCCATGAATATTTTGGATTGAATTATTCCTATTTGACGTGCTAAATTGTCAATTTATTGTGAGAGTAACTAATATTGACTTGTATATATTGATGATGTGACTATTAGCTTTTGATGGAGGTGAGTGGTTTATTTTTATTTTTTGATAATTGATGAACTCTGACTATGTAAGTGAATGCTAATTTAAAAAAAAAAAAAACTATGTCAGTGAATGTGATTATGACATAAAGTTCAAAACATAGTTGCGTCAGCTTTAAAATAAAACATCATTTATTAGATTTTTTTTTTTTCATTCGATGTTAATATTCATTCTAAATTTGATTAATTTGAATTATCATAGGGTGATTTCACTTTAAAAGAAAGCTTCTTACCAAAAAAGAATTTCATGATTTAAATCTAAGATTTTTAATTAAGAATTAAAATGAAATTCATTCCATAACAAGTTTAATGATCTATAATAATAACAAATAATTAACTTACCTACTTTCAATAAACTTTATTAAATATTCATCTTAAATTATTAATTTTGAAGAACTTTCTTTGGTGGGATCGGAACTCACCCAAAAAGTAGATTTTTTATTTATTTTTATTTTTTATAGTTGAACACCATTTTTTTTAAAAATAAATAGAAATAAGTTGGTAGCAATCCTTTGTGTAATTATGAAGTACTTATCGTATAATTTTTATTTATTTTAATTTTTATGATATTCAAATTTGTATTCAAATCTGATCAAATTTTGTATTACAGAGTCCATTTTAAAAATGACGTACCAAATAAGATTGATATCAAACATACTATATAATGCAAAAAGACTTAATAAGCACTCGTAATATTGTAAAATAAGTTGAAATTTACAAATTTATACTTTTCTATATTTTTCTTGATGTATCATTACATAATTAGAAATGAGACTACTATTAATGCCAGATGTATAATTTCACTTTTGACACCATCAGAGAAGTTATATATCATTTTAGTCATTCTATTTTATGTGACTCTATTTTATTTTAGTCATTCTATTTTAGGTGACTTTATTTTAATTTTAAAGAAAAGAAAAGGAAACAGAATAGGTCCACTAACCTCACCTATCAATTAGGTGTGAAAAAATTTGTTGGGGGAAATAAATGCTGAAAAAAAGTGAACATTGAGATCATTAATTCTCCAACTAATTCTCTTGAAACTTCTCATTAAAATTATTTTGAGAAAAATATTTTTGAAGAATTTTCATTTAAACTAATATTTTTATTCACAAAAGTTCAATTTCCTTCGAAGTAAAATTAATATCCAAACACAATTTAATTTTCATATATATCTTTTAACTTCAACTTTAATATTTCTTACAATTTAACAAAACATCATCACAACAAATATATTTGTTGAAGAAAATATTATTTAATAAAATAAATAAAATACATATACAAGCTAACTTGAATAATATTTTATTAAAAAAAGATTTTTTATTGAGTTGAAAAAACATTTCATATTTATGATGGCAGGTGAGTGCCCAATATTTGAAAACAACATAATATTAAAAAACATTTCATCCTTTCTATATTAGTTGTTATATTTTTCTTTTACATAGAAAATCATAATTTCTTTTTTACTTTATCTTTTTATAATAAATTATTAATTTATTTAAAAATAAAATTTAACTAATCTTATTTCAAAAATATTGCATAAATGGTCAAAAATGGAATACAAATAATTAGAAGTGTTCAACATTGTACAAATACTAAAAATATTAACTAAAAGACAATCATCGGGAGTGTCACTCTCAAATGAGTCTTGTTGTGAGCGATTCAAATTTAATCGGCATAAAATACGAGTTCTGGATATGAAAAAAAAAAACAAACTAAAAACTAAAGACAAAGCTTCTTTCCATTTTCTTGACTCTTCTAATTTTTCTTACTACTAGTACAAGTGTTCATTGGAACCTCCATTTTATTGTAACTTTTTGCTAGCTTTGAAAAATTCTTTGGAATTGTTCATATTCTGATTCTTAGCTGTGTATTTTTCTGCATTTGTTGTCTGCATATTTGTTATTCTCAAGGAAAACCCATGTTAGATAATCCACCTTGGTGGTCTCATATCACCTGACTTTGTCCCTTTTGCTTTAATCAATTTCCTTGAGATCTGTGACTTTTGAGGAAATAAAAGTTCAGTCTTTCCCTTTGTTGGGTCATGCTTAAAAATTTAAGATTCCTTCAGAATAGCTGCTGAGGTGAGTTAAAGGTTGAATCTTGAAAAAAAGTTTGATTCTTTGCTTCAGCTGTTAGTTTGAGTTTTGTTGGTTGATTGATAAGAGGGTTGCTTGAATGGTAAACACCCTTTGCCTCCAATATGAGGTTGTGAGTTCGAGTCAGCTAGGGAGCAAAAAGTGTGGGAGCTTAATTTTTTTTTTTTTTAAATGATTTGATTTTTGTTGATTAGATGATTGCATGAGTTTGATTGTTAAAGTTCATGTCTTTGTGGTCTGTGACCTTTTGATGGTCATTTATGTTTTGTTTGTTTGAGGAAAGATGGAAGTAGCAGTATGTCAACTTTTTATTTGAATTATGATTTTGGTTGAACTAATACCATTTGTTGTGAGCCTTGTTATGAATAATGGTTTTGCTTGAGTTTGATTATTATGAATTCTCTCCCCTTTACTGGATCACGCTTAGAAATTCAAGATTCCAGCTTGGTTTCCTTAAGAACAGCTGCTGAGGTGAGTTAAAGGTGGAACTTGGATTAAGTTTTGATTCTTTGCTTCAGCTGTTAGATTGAGTTTTATTGATTGATTGATAAGAGGGGTTGCTCGAACGGTAAGCACCCTTCGCCTCCAACACTGTGAGGTTGTGGGTTCGAGTAAGCTAGGGAACAAAAAAAGGTGGGAGCTTACTGGGGAGGGGTAAAAGAATAAATAATTGACTTTTGTTAATTGGATGATTGCTTGAGTTTGATTGTTAAAGTTCATGTCTTTGTGGTTAGTGACAATTTTGTGGTCATTTCTGTTTTGTTTGTTTGAGGAAAGATGGGAATAGCAGTATGTGAATTCTTATGAATAATGGTTTTGCTTGAGTTTGATTATTATGAATTTTCTCTTTCCCTTTACTGGGTCATGCTTAAAAATTAAAGATTCCAGCTTGGTTTCCTCCGAACAGTTGTTGAGTGAAGTAAAGGTTGAATCTTGGATGAATTTTTGATTCTATGCTTCAACTGTTGGTTTGATTTTTGTTGATTGGATGATTGGTTGAGTTTGATTTTATAGTATGATAATGATATGAAATGAGTTTAAATGAAGAAGTGAGCATTTATATAGCCGACCCCGACTTGTTTGGTAGTTGGGGCTGAGGCGTAGTTGTTGTTGTATTTGTTTGCGGGTTCTTTCATTCCCCTTAGAGTCATTCTCAAACCTTCAAGATTCCAGCTTGGTTTCTTTCAGAACAGCTTCTGAACGAGTTGAAAGGTTGAAACTTGGGTGAAATTTGGATTCTTTGCTTCAGCTGTTAGCTTGATTTTTGTTGATTGGAGGATTGCTTGAATTTGATTGTTAAAGTTCATGTATTTGTGGTTTGTGGTCTTTTAGTGATCATTTCTACTTTGTTTGTTTGAGGAAAGATGGGAATACTAGCAAGTGAATCTTGATTTTTGTTGATTTAAGTTATGTGTTTGATTGAACTAATACCATCCGCTAAGTAAGTTGAATTGTTTGGTTTGTGTTGATTGGTTAATCATTGTCAGTCGGATTGAGTATTCGTTTGCTTTGGGTTGGATGTTTTTATTTCCTGGTTAGTTTGGTGACTGTTTCTGCCTTTCTGGTTTTGTTCATCTATGGACTAGTAGATGTTACTTGTTAGAAGCCGAGTTGACGTTTTCCCCCTTTTCGTGGATTTGGGCAGAGTAAATTGGACCTGTAGCATCTGTTATCTTTTCCCTACTTAGTTATGCTATGTGGGAGAGGGAGGGGGCCAATCTCATTTTCTCTTAATTTAGTAGTATTTGTTAGTGGATTTGGGCAGAGTAAAGTAGTAACTTGTTGCTTCATTTGCTCAATGTATCTTGCTATTTTGCTGCCGTTATTTTCCTTTCAATCCTGTTTTGATTACACTTCTTGTGAGCCGAGGGTCTATCGGAAACAACCTCTCTACCTCACAAAGGTAGGGTTAAGGTCTGCGTACATCCTACACTCCCAAGACCCCACTTGTGGGACTACATCGGACATATATTGTTGTTGTCGTAGTTATGCTATGTGGAAAAATCCCTAAAGATTAACATATTGGCTGACTTTATGTCTTCATTGTACACAAAGTCTTAAGAATTGTTTGAATCGCGCAACATGTATTATATGTATATCATATGCACCTTATTCGAACACTCAAGATTTGAGTGCTCTTTCCCTTGTTTGACTGAATTCCTCTCCGATAAATTTCAGAGCATTTAATCCATTTTATGTGTAATAATGCATGCATAGATACATATCCCTTGAATAATAATTTTTGTTTTTCAGAACTTCAAATTTCTGCTGCGACTAACTCATACAAACACATCTATGCAGCTTTTCTGAAACATCATTTTCATAATTTTGTAGGTCCATTCATACTTGGAACACCAAAAACACTTAATTCTTGTATAGCTGTTGCGGCTTTTAAAAAATTTGAGAGAAAACAGTTCTGTTTTCCTAGGATATGCAATATGAGGGACACTGGTAACATCTCTCAGTACCGAGCTAAGTTAGATCAGACATTGTCGTCTCATGATCTTGTAAATGATGATTTACTTAAAAACCTTGTCAAGAATCAAATGCTACGCTCGTCAGAATGTGATCTTCAAGGTTTGTTCTATGTCACTAAATGTGGATTTTACTTAAATAGGCAGTCACCTTTATCATCCAACATATACTAAGCAACGATGCATTCCACAACCCTCCATCCACCCTCTTTTCTTTTTTTTTGCAGAATGTAGTGACAACCTAGTAGAGCGAAGAACCAAGGAAGTGGCAAACTTCCTGAGCATGTTAAGGAGTACATCTGTAACTGATAATGAGAAGGCAAAATCTTCTGAAGCAGCTCATCCTGTTTGGAAAGTAGGCTATCTATCACATTGTAGATTATCTTTTCCTAATTCTCGAAACTCTCCGCATACCAATGTCATTGTGACTCTGAAACTTATTTGAAGCATCACGTGTTGGTTGTCTTTGAAGGGGAACCTATTCGTAACTGGTAAAGTTGCTGCCATGTGACCAAGAGGTCAGAGGCTCGAGCTGTGGAAACAACCTCTTGCAGAAATGCAGGGTAAGGTTGCGTAGAATAGATCCTTGTTGGTTCCGGCTCCTCCCGGGACTCCTGCGCAGAGCAGGAGCTTAGTGCACTGGGCTGCCCTTTTCTTTTACATGTTGGTTGTCTTTAGCGGCACCAAAGTCTGCTGCTTTCTTGGAATGTGATATTTTAGTCTTACCATGCATGTATTGCAAAAGACTTCTCCCCATCTGTTATTTACTATGAGAGTAATGCCGATTCTCCTTCTTTTGCAGGTAAAACAAGATACTGAAGATTACCGTGTTATGTATCGAGAGGGACCAGAAGGCACTCCCTTCCATACCCTCCTTGTTGAAGGCTATGTAGATGGCCCATCAGATGTTTGTAAGATAGATTAAAATCTCTACTATTTCGCCTTATATTCACTGTTGGGGTGGATATTAATCAAGGTCACCTCCAGAAAGTCCGTGTTGCGTTATTATTGGACAACTTTTGTGATAACAACTGTCTGTTTCAGGTTTATGCATCTCATGGGGGGCAGAGTTCTACAAGAAATGGTGAGGATCCCATATGCTAAAGACTCTTGCATTATTTTAGTATCGTGTGATGTTTAGAATGCAATAAAAATTATTTAGGGAGCTGTTTGGATAAATACTTAATACAGATGTTCGCATTGTCTGCTGAACAAAGTGACTGGAGTAGGTGGAGAGAGCTTTTGAACTACAAACTTTTAGTTGTAATGATGGAATTGTATTTGTATCAGCATATTATTGTGATACTATTTAGTTCGACAGCAAGCATTAGGTTAAGAAAAATAGCACTATAAGTTTGGCAGATATGAGGCTAGTAGAACTGGTGGATAGATGTCAACAACAACTTACCTAGTATATTGCCAATTTTTTTCCGATTGTTCTCCCTGATTAGACTTTGATAAAAGAAAGGGGTACTAGTGATAGACCCTTTTGCTCAAAAGATGTATTTCCGAAGCAGAATTGCAAGAATAGAATGACAATAATAAGATAGAAAGATACAAAGCAAATGAGACAACAAGTAGTAATACTCACTGAAGAATAAGAAACTACACGCCTACTAAATATCACCCTACCTCTTGCACATAAAGTGTGACAGCACCCGGCTACTCGCTAGCCTTCAACCCTAATTCTCGACCCCTAAACCTTCCGATATATGGTCATGTCCTCAGTAAGTTGGAGCTGTGGGAGCTGGCCATGTCCGTTGGATAGATGTCATTTCAGGCAATTCACTGTGAACACCAATCATGGTGAATTCTTTAGGGGGAGAGATTGTGAATCAAATGAAATTTGTATCACAGCATCCTCCCATTAATTTTTTTTATCACCACAATCCAAGTAGTTGATAAAACAAATACATTTTATAATGCGAGCACAACCAAAATTTCTTGGTTTTGTCTCTGTTGGGGAGTGATTGCTCTCATATTTTATCAAGGTGGTGATGTACATTAAAGCCGCTGGTAGATTTAATGCAGTAAATGTGAAGAAAAAAAGAAACTTAATGCTAAATAAAATGTCAGTAAAGTTTCAAATTATCTTAACGTGCATTGAATGATATGCTATTTTCCTTGAATACTGGTTCAAGGGATAGTCTCAACAACTTGTGTTAATACACCTCATTTTCACATCAGGTGGCCGCAAACCACAATTCCAACATTTAAGATTGCAGCCTCCGAGTGCCTGCAGAAGGTCAGAGAGGGTGAACAAATATGTCTAGTAAGGTCTGTCATCTTATACTCCCTCCGTTGTCATTTGTTTGTCTTACTTTCCGTTTTAGTCCGTTTAAAAAAGAGTGTCTCTTTCCTTTTCACGCAACTCTTTATTTCTAACTTTCCACATGGCATGTTTAAGACCACAAGATTAAAGGGCGTTTTGGTACATTCTACATATATCTTTAGTTTAACATCACGAGATTCAAAAGTCATCTTTATTTTCTTAAATTCCATGCCATGTCAAAACCAAATAAACAAATTGAAATTGCGGGAGTAGTAGTTCATAGATGCTTATTTTGTTCTTCTTATATCTTTAATATGCTGATATATGTTTAACTACTTGTAAGTTAGGATGAAGCTTTCATGGCCATTGTCAACAAGGGAGGCCCTTGTACATTTCTTTGTATTTGAGTACATTCAAGATGGTCTGATAGTAGTGCTTCTAAATTCGGTAAGCTTGTGAAAGTCCACGACATTTTTCCGTTAACATATTTGTTCGCGTTATCATTAGAGTAACTGATTGTTTTGTGAATGTTTCCAGATCTCTGATGTAGATACCGTTGATAGAAGCACTCACGGGTACTCGAAAGACGGAATACCACCACCGCAGGATGTAGTACGAATTGACGTGGTGGGAGGTTTTGCTATCCAGAAAGTTACTGATAATCGTAGCTACTTCAGGTATCTTTGGATTTCTTATGTATTAAAAGTACTTATTGTTGGTATCCTGTTATCAAACCAGTAAACCAGAATTTTCGAAATAAACTGGAACAGAAAATAGAAACTTTAAGACCACAAAATTCACCGTGTGTCATTAAGGAATTTGTTACCAGAGGTTTTGGATTACTTCCTCCCAGAATAAAACAGATATACCTGTCGCTAGAGTAGTAGTACCTCAAATGCCAACAACTTCATCGAACACAAAGACGGTAACAAATCACACAATTTGTTAGAAAATATGCAGTAGAAGTTCAGGTTTTTTTCCCTAGAAAACGGAGGTTAGTCCTCTGATTTTATAGCCAACGAAGGGTATTGTGAACAAGTGCTATTTTGCCTTATCGAAAAAGTCACAACCCATTTAATGTGAAAATGTGCTATTCAAATTGCATCCTTTCTCTTGGAATCTTTTTGGGAGAATGCTTCATTTCATCATTCACACCTCTTAAAAACTCAACACTTAAAGCAAATAGACGACATATGACAACCCATTCAATGTGAAAATGTGCTATTCAAATTGCATCCTTTCTCTTGGAGTCTTTTTGGGAGAACACTTCATTTCATCATTCACACCTCTTAAAAACTCAAACACTTAAAAGCAAATAGACGACATATTATCAGCTTCAAACGCTTCCTGTTGCATTTTCATGCTAGCTTTTTCCATGTAAATTTTCTCTCTTTTTGTGTTTATCAAATTTTACAGGACTATAGCAAACATGGATATCAAACTGGACTTTGTTCCTCCTTCATTCATCAATTTCCTTTCAAGGCAGCTCGTAGGTGCTGGCTTCAAGCTGTATAAAAAGGTTAATGCCAATTCAATTATCACTTCTGTTTCTGATATTGTTTATTCGTTGGAACAACGATTCTGATCAAACCAATATTTTAGTTCTCTGGATAGTAATATACTGTTCTTTTTTTCTTGCAGGAAGTAGCTTCGGTTACCAAAGGTGACGAAGATTTCAGCAATGCTCTAAAAGATCCACTATATGATCGAATACGAAAAGCACTTTATTCAGATAATGTACCTAATGACAATGAGGCTTTAGAATTACAAGACCTCAAGGAAGAAGCACGTGCTAGTCTCGATGAAGGGGCAAGAGATAGCAATGGGGCTTCGGGACTGCAAAAGGACTTCAAGAAAGATGCATGTTTTGGAGTTGATGAACGGACAGGAGATGGAAATGGTGCTTTAGAGTCACAAGACCCGATAAATGACGCCTATGCTCATCCGGATCAAGCAACAGGAACAAATGTTGAAGATAATAAAGTTCATGAAATTGAGGAAATTAATGAAGATACAAGTGAAATGATTGAAAGTTTAGATGAGAATGAAGAGAAAGTCGGGGATTCTCCAGCTAATCAACTCGTAGATGTGCCTTCCAACAACAAGATGGTCGTGATTAGATCTGAGGTTCGACAAGCTCTGGGAACTTTGGAGAAGGCTATTTCTATCATAAGGGATTTTGGATATAATTTGGAAATTAGATCTGTTTCCGGAAATGCTACTGTTAAGTCTTTAGGTGTAGAGGAGGATGGACGGAGAGACTCAAAATCATCAGAAACTGATCGAATTCATGGAACTCGCATAGCTTGCGCTGAATCACCCGGAAAAGAATTATCAGAGGCGACACGCAACGAACACAGGAACAGCTCTGCTAGTCATGGTTCCAGGTAAAATTTTGTTTGCTTAATTGCAAGAGGCTTCATTGAAATATGAACTATGCCAAGCTTACTTATTCTACATCATTTGTGTTACATCGGTTCCGGAGAAATTAAATACTCTCTCCGTTTCAACTTTTTTGTCTGATTTTGACTTGACACGGAATTTAAGAAAGTGAGGAGACTTTTGAATCTTTTGGTTCTAAACTAAAAAAATATGTAGAATGTACTAAAATACGCTTTAATCTTGTAGTATTAAACATTTCACATAGAAAATTAGAATAGAAGAATTGCCAAAAAGGGAAAGAGACATTCTTTTTTTAAACAGGCCAAAAAGGTAAGTAAGACAAACAAATTGAAACAGAGGGAGTATTTATTTTCCAAACCGGCATATCGTATTTGCAAAACATGCTAGCCATTTAAAGACTTCTACAACTTCTTTACCATAGAAAATCTGAAAGTTTGACTTATATATGATAAAAAAGGTTGTTCTGAGCTATGTTGTTCGGACTCTTCATAAGTATTGTCGGGTTTGTGTCTACAGTATTTGTGTCGATCCTCCAAAACCTATCCTTTTTGGAGGATACGACATGGGTGCACCTACATTTCTGGAGTGTCCAAGCAACATAGATTCCGAGAACACTTAATCTTTGTGACAATGTATTTCCTATGATAACATCTTTGTTGATATGCTAGATGAGTTTCTCTCAAAATTGGCGTAACTTTTTTCTCCAGGCGTACAAGTTCTAGTTTGTGCACGAGGGAAGCTAACCACAACACGAAGATTGCTCCTGCATCACCGGATGATTATGTTGAAATCTTAGGCGACACACAACACATTGCTGTACATGTAGACCAAATGAAGGAAGAAAATGTCGCGTCTGTCCATGGAAAAAAACACGGTATAAGAAGACGAAAGCTACCATTTTACTGTTGCTTGTCTTTTAAACCAGAACAAGTCATGAGTTAAAAAGAGCAATTTTGTTCATAGGAGAAAGCAGCTATAGTTTACCTGTTACTACATATGTATAGTTCTTATGTAATTAAGGGTCAAAACCAGAGTGTTCTGTACCTATGTTGCTCGAACCTTCCAAAAATGTTACTGCATCTGTGGTGAATCCTCCAAATTGCAATAGCTTTTGCAGGATCAGACACACACGTGACATCTTTTTTCGTAAGAGTCTGAGCAATATAGTTTTGTACAACATAGTGTAACTAAGCATGCCCATATTTATAGTAATGTAATATGATGGTGACAATACCACAAGTACCTGAGTTAATATATTCTTCATTAAAAAAGTGGCTTATGTATATCTTTTCTGTCTAATAAATAGAGCATATTTGCCCTTTTTGGTGATGGACTCTACATTAGTTCTAATGATAGTTAATTAATGTCGGTAGGAATTTTAGCATTTTTTATTAATATGTATATTTATTGCCGTTAAAAATTGTGGATGAAAGTATTTAGTTGTTTTGAATAACCTCTTACTACATTACATATCATGATTAAAGTTTATAAATCACATAGTTAGACAATTTTTAATTTTTACTTATTTATGAGTAATTAGCAAGACTGATAGGAAATACTCTAATAATAATAATAATAATAATAAAGGGACTTAAATTTTTATTTATGACTTTAACTTTATAATATTTATAACTTTGACAAATAAATTCAATTTGTTTAGTTTGGTTAAACTTGAAGTAATTGATAGTCATAGTAATTAGATTGTTTAGAAAGTGATTATATTGGAAAATAGATTAGGAAATAAGCAATTTCATCAAAATTGAATTTATATACGTAAAATAACTAAATTACATTTTTTCTCTCTCTGTATATCTGAAAGGAGAGTTTGAGAGTTTCAACATGGCTGTTATTTTTTTTTATTAATAACATTCTTTATTTTAATTTTTAATAGTTCAAGATTCATGTTTATCAATTGAGTTATTCTTCGTTTATTTTATTTGTTGTATTTTATTTTTTAAATGTTAAAATGTAAAATTTATAATTAGTATTTGAAGATGTATTTTTTTATTATATTAAATTAATATGAAAATAGTTGCAACTTATAGTATTTTTCATATAATTTTAGAATATCTAAAATTTAAATTTAAACTATTGATAATCGAACTTAGTATAGCTCTGGAGATTAGTTAATAAATTTACTCTCACAAAATGAAACATGACAAGTAAAATTGAACATACGAAATAATATGTTCTTTTGTAATTTTTTATGAGCATTTTCTCAATGGGACTGTTTTAGAAGCAACAAAATAATAGGATCTTGTGGTTTTGATTAGTTTTTTTTTATTAGTTTTGGGTTGGAAGAGACTTTAATTTGAAGTTTTGTGTTAGAGGAAGTAGCTGATTGTTTTGTAAGACATTTGGATTATAAAAAAAATTAAAAAATATACTTCTTTCATTTTGATTTATGTGGTGTATTTAATTAAAAATATACTCCTTTTATTTTGATTTATGTGGTGTACTTTGATTTTTTTTTTTTAATTTAAATTTATATGATATAGTTTGACTAAATGTTGATATACATTTGATCACTTTTTCATATGTTAAGAAAATTTTAATGAAAAAAGAAAAGTTATGCATTAACATATTTGGATTGATAACTATATGTTTTAAAGCACACGATCTTGATAAAATGAAATCTTTAAAGTTATTTTTTTTTAAAACAAAGAAGTTAAATTATTTTGAAACATATATAATGATTTTTTATTTAAAAAAATGAAAACATAATATCATATAAAATTAAATGAAAAAGATAAGAAGTTCAATTGTTTTTCAATGATGAGGTTGAAAAATATCTTCCTCTTGCTATACTCCTAAAATAATTGAGAGTTTAGATTTTAATTAGGACATTGATAGTATTCATTTTTATTTGAATAAAAAGTAAATATGCATATTTATCTTGATATTTGTTGTTTTAACCTAGATCTATTAGATTTTGAAAGCATGTGGCGAAATTACATTATTCTAAATATTGTCATTTGTCAAATGATCTTTCTTCTTTAAAAAATTATATCGTATATATGAGTGAAATATTTAGTTTTAAAGGTATATGACATATATTGAGCCTACGTTATCAATATTTTTTTTACTTCTTTCAAGTTTAAAAAGTTCTACCCCGAATAATTTTTATGAGAACTGGAGAAACGTGTATGGATAAAGCACCATATATATATAACAACTTAATGGAAGCATGAAATTAAAAACTGAAATGTACAAAATAACAAATATAGTTTTGAGAAAATAATTATTATTGAGATATAACTTAATTAAAGAAATAAAATCTTAAATTTGTTGAAAGAGATGTCTGATGAATAAATTGCAAAACTTAAATACATTATTTTAGGTGGTTGAAAGAGATGTCGAGGAATAAATTGCAAAACCTAATACATTATTTTAAAACGTAATTTTTTTTAATAATAGAAAAGACAAACAAAAAGTAAATAACTTATAAAAATATCCTTCTTTCATGAAAAGTTTTCTATGATACTTCTCTCAAATCATTTTTCAGCTGAATTTTCTGTGGATTGCTGTCGGAGAATAATGCCCAATTTATTTTCATTCTTATTTGTTTGCAAATCTAACAAATATATCTGAAATGTTACAAAATTATTTCCAAATTATGTAAGAAATAGTCATATATAAGTGTCAAAAGATCCTTACTTATTGATCGTTTCCATAATAGAAGTATTGTATATGATACTTGCTCAAGTTTAAATTTAGACCATTTAATATAGTTAATTTGAACTTTTTCTCTTCATTTGGTATTATCTGCTTAAGTTATAAGTAAGGTTAGTATAATCTTTTCAAGTTGATATTTTTAGTTTATAGCTATAGTAATTTTTATACGAGATGAAATGTTTAATAGCTTCACAACAATTATCTACTAGTAACATTTATTATTGATAATGGTTATTTCAAGTTAACAAAATGTTAACGTTTGTTCTAATGCGTTACCTTGTTTATTATTGTCAAAAATCTTATTAATCAATATGAAAATTTGAGTAGTCTAATTCAAAATTTTAATATATTAGATGAAATTCTATTGTTAAAAATAAACATAAATGGTTATAGCATTTTGAATTAATAGTTTGATACTTTATATAATTTTTTCTATATTAATTTAACCACATTTCATATTAATAAAAAAAATTGAGAAAATAATATAGGTTTTAATGGATTAGGCTTTGGACTATTACAAATGGGCTAAATTTGGGCACAATCCATCTTAATTCATGGCAAAAATAATCTAAAGTCAACTCATTAATCAGCCCAAACTCAATCCCATAAATTGAAGAAAATAGTGCTATTTTGGCCCAAACTCAACCCATCTCGATTCCGAACTTGATCTAGACCTGGATCCTCAACTCGATATTGACACGAGACTCAACCACAATCCCTAATTGGGACTCAATCCCGACCTTGACCCTCGACTTGACCCCAACAATGGATCCAACCCCGACTTTTGAATTGGACCCAAGTCTCGATCCCCAAATCAACATCAACATGTAATTTAAACCTTAACCTCACCCTGACTCTAATTTGGGACTCAACCTTGATTTTTTGGGATCGATCTCGATCTCGATTTTTGGCCCGACATTGACTTGGGACCCGACCCATGTCACCAACACGAAACTCGACCCCAGCCACATGATCAAAGACCCGACCTTAACCCAGGACCCCGACCTAGCCTCGACATAGAATCTAAACCTCGGCTCGACCTCGACTCGAGAACTTATAGCCCCGACCTTAACTCGATCTTAATTCAAGACTCAATCATTACCTCGATGTAGACTTGCCGATGACCCCAATACGGGACTCAACCCCTAACATCTACCTGTGACTCGACCCTAGACCCAACCCCAACCACGAACTCAACCCAACTTTGACCTAAAATTCAAACCTCGACTCAACCCCTAACCTCTACCATATCCTAATAATATGTAATATTGGTGAAACTTTTTGTGAATATTTGATGAAGGAAAAATTCATTAACATCTCTAAAAAGTGAAATGAAATTAGTCATATTAGATTATAATCCATCATCTAACCTATTTTGATTCGTCCATCTTAACTCAAGTAAGTTTTTAAAAGGATTGGACATTCATAGCTTAACTTTAGACCAAAAAGTCTATTTACCCCGTAATCATATTCAGTGTTCGAATCCAAAATCACCTTACCACTCCATCATCATATAACCAACATAACTTAGTTCCTACCGAGCTTATTTACTTATTACAAATTACATACTACACAAGCTTATATATAGCTTGAAGATTAGAGAAACTTCTTCTATCAATTTCTCCAAGAAAAAAAAAAATGTTGATGAAGAAGCTGAGAATTTCAACACCCTTTTCACAAAGATTATTATTGGGAAGAAGGGAAATAGTGATTTCTTCTTCTAAGACCCAATTCGATTTTCCATCAATTTCTCCAAAAGTAGAGCAATTTCCTCAATTTATACAATCTAGAAAGCTTAATTTTCTTAGAAACGATTTGGGTTTTTCTGGAAGAACCCTTTTTAGCACTGAAGCTGCTAAAAAAAATTCTTGCTGGAATTGTTGTAATGGGGTTTCTTCAAATACGATGCCGTTTCTTGTTTGCACTGCTTGTGGCTGTGTGCAACCTGTAGATCAATCTGTTGATTTTTTCCAGATTTTTGGACTGTAAGTTGTGTTACTGAGTTCGAATTTTGATATTTGTAGTAGAATTATTAACATATATATATATGATTTGAATTAAAGCTATTGTGTTCGGCTGAACCCTGTGTAATGGTGGTACTGTGAATGTAGTTTGTATTGGGTATATAATTAGTTCATGGTAGGATACTTTGTTCTTTTTTTAGTATTTGGAGGAAAGGCGGATCCAAGATTTGAACATTATGTGTTCGGGGTAACCCACTAACCGTTTTAGTTAGTGGGGTTTGAAAGTTAATATTTGTACATATTTAGTAGAATTATTGATATTTGTACATCATTTGAATCAAAGCTATTGTGTTGGGCTGAACCCGTAGCTTCTACTGTGCTTTCTCCCATGACTTGGAGGTTCTTAGAGTGGCGAAGCCAAAATTTTCATTAAGGAGAACAAAATATAAAAACTAAACACACGAAGAGGGCAAAGGAGGTTCAACATATATACATAAAAAATAATTTTAGCCATGTATAAATGGTGTAATTTTCCGCTGAAGGGGGTTCAGATGAACCCCTTGGCCCTTGCTAGCTCCGCTCCTGTTCTTAGCTTGTATAAATGGTGGTACAGTGAAGTGAATGTGTCTGTACTGGGTATATTGTTAGTTTATGCTCAGATTCTTTTTCCTTTTTAGTATTTGGAGCAAAGGCGAATCCAAGATTTGAACTTTATGGGTTCAGTATACCACTGAAGCTACTGACCATTTGAGTTACTGGTTTCAAAATTTGTACATGTTTAGTATATACTTGATCTGAAGCAAACCTACTGGGTTCGGCCCTGTAGCTTCTACTGTTCATTCGCCCCTGACTTGGAGGTTCTAGAGTTTAGTGTAATTGATTTGGACTTCAAAATAGTACATGATAATTGATTGTGTTCTTAGCTTTGCAACAAATAAGGTAGGGATAAGTATCAGATATCACTTATTTGGATCATTAGCAGTGTACTCGAAGGATCTGCACGAATAAGTATATTAATTCATACCCATTGTTGGAATATAAGGTTATAGTAATATCTCGCGAAACATATGCATGTAAATATATTTATGTCAGTTCTTATTTATCTTTCATCTTTAGCGAATTGACTTGCTAAAGATTCTCTGCATTTTTTCAGGGAGAAGAAGTATGAAATTGAGGGGGAGAATCTAGAACGAAAGTATAAAGACTGGCAGAGGAAGCTACATCCAGACTTGGTTCACACGAAATCTCAGGTTCATAAAATTGCATTGTACACATAAATACAAAATCTTCCTTCTGATTATTCTTTTGGGGATTCCCTTCCGCCAAAATTTTGATATTGTTTTACTATGGCTTCTTGCTGTTTCTGCTAGAAAGAAAGGGAGTATGCTGCTGAACAATCTGCTCGTGTCATTGATGCGTACCGCACACTAACTGATCCATTGTCAAGGGCAATATACATTGTAGGTTACCATTACTTAATACATACTTATTGCTATTGTAGTTCCATTTTTTCATTGGTGATCATCACGAACATATTCTGTAACTCGGCAATGATTTATATGTGCAAGAGACATTTGACAGAAGATAACTCCTATTTTCCCCCCTTTTTAGGCTGAAATGTGCTTAACAAACTATAAGGACAAAAAGATAGTATAAACTATAAAGGCAAATGTTTTACACACATATTTCATATTCCGACATATGAGTTCTTGTTTCCTCTAGAGAACTGCAAGAGATGAAAAGTTGACTACTTTGGCCCATTGCATTTGGTTTCCTCCGTGTTTTTTTCTTCCCTTTTCCTTCAGAGTGAAGATCTGAAATATCTGCACTGAAATGTTTAATATAAAGAAAAACTCAATAATATAATTGCAACTCAAGGAAAGAAGTGCTGTAAAGTTATAGAAGTTTCAGATTGTGGTCTACTAAGTCCTGTCATTTTTCTTCTTAACGTTTTGTCCTGGCTTCCAGCTGAAGTTGGAAGGCGTGCATGTGGATGAAGAGGAGAAGATTGATGATGTAGAGCTGCTGACTGAGGTAAAATTTGTTGTTCTGGAATTGCTTTTTAATAAGCGCTGCTGCCAATTGTTTCTTGGACATGTTGGCCTTTTATGTAAGATAGAAATTGACAGTCGATGCCTGTAATATGAAATATGATGATAACAACACATACCCGTAGGATGTACGCGAACCTTACTCCTATCTTTGTGGGGTAGAGAGATTGTTTCCGATAGACCCTCGGCTCAAAAGTAATATGAAAAATGATTTGACCACACATTCAACCAATTGACTTACACTTTTTTTTGCTCCTTCCGTCTTAATCATAAAAGTTTTGGTTATGCTGTCTTGGTATGAGTTTGTTACACTATCTATGATTTGGAGGTCTTCCTTTGTAGGGTTTAACAATATTAGCATTTAGATGTAATATTTACTATAGAAAAATGGTATGTTATTTTGTGTGATCTTTGTAAAGGTGCTAACTTTGCTCCTCCTCAGTGGCTTGCCTAAATTCATCTTCTCCGACTATTAGTCATCAAATATTTCACTTGCAGATGCTGGAAATCAGAGAAACTGTTGACGAAGCTGATGACTCACAGGCACTTAAACAAATTCAGGGGCAGGTATAAAAGGACACCAGTAGTATAAGCATTTACAACAAACCTGTTTGAATTTTGCGCAGATTACCCAACTGTTCTACTAGCTGTTAGAGAAATTATTTTCTTGCTTTCCCCTTGCATTTCTCCTCCGTGTTTTTTCTGTGCTGGGTGCAATCTGGGGGTCAGCTGAGTGGGCAAATTCCGGTGCGTAATAGCTTTTTATCGGATGCCGCCTCCACAGTGTTATCAAGCAATTGATGCTGATTGACATTACCTTGAGAGCATGGTATATCAGTTCTGTAATTATTCCCCCTCTGCTAGACGAACTTTCGTGTAAAGCCATCTCAAACTTTTACTGTGTGAAATGAACTACTGCAAAGGCTTCTACAAGTTTCACATGTGTAATCATAATAAGAAAGAACTGATTGAACACTTCTATTGTTTGTATTTATGGCATATGTGTAACTTTACAGTAGTCACAAGGCTTAACAAAGTCAATTGCTGATAGTTTAATTTTTTTGTTTTGTTAATTCTATCTGTGGGCGCTCATCATTGTTTTGCAGATACAAGGAAAGTTCGAACAATCATCCATCTCTTTTACAGACGCCTTCCAAAGTAGAAAGTATGAAGAAGCTCTGGCTGCAATCCGAAGGATGACTTACTACAAGCGTGCAAATGAAGAGATAGTGAGAAAGCTCTAGTTTATGGGTATGGAACCTTGAACTTTCATCTTTGATTTATTCTCGTTTGGCAAACATCCATCGAGCTGATGGTTTTCCAGTCACCAACTTGGTGTTATGTGAGGGTATTGAACTAGCTACCCTGGGACTTAATATTTTTCATTGTGAAAATGTCCGGGGCTTGGCTTCACTTGACCTATAACTTTTATTGTAAAATACTCATTGTGGTTGCTAGAGTTCTCTAGAGCATATTTGTGAAAGGCATTATATATAGATAGGCACCTTAACCTCCAACTTTAAGAATGCACATGTAGACACCTCAATTTGTCCCTACTGTGTCTCGTGGACACCCAACGTTGACGCGACACATAAATTTTGTTGGTATCTATGTGATCATTTTGTAAGTTGGGAGTGTTTAACTGTCATAGTGGAGACAAGTTGAGGTGTCTAGATGTGCATCCTTAAAGTTGGAGCATTCAGTTGCTAGTTGAGGCCAAGTTAAGGCGTCTATCTATGTATTATGTTGGTTCAGCATTAGTAATTGTTGGTTCAAACTTCAAATACTGTGGGATTTACTTGTCTTCTTATTGTATTTGCTTGTGAACTTGTATAGAAACATGAAGCTGTGGTTTGGGAGTGAAATGCAACTAGGCACAACCGGACAGACCCGAACCACCAGCAGCGCATGCACAGAATACGACAATCAGTTGATCTGATGAAGTTGGGTGTTCGCTTGCTCCGGTGGATCTAGTCACCTACCATACTTTCCAACACGACCCCGAAGATGTACACACTACACACTGTTGATCCACAAAATAATTGCCAAGAAAGTCGATAGCAGTATGAATACATGATCTCTCTCACTCATTGGTGAATGATCCTGGTAGATTTGATCCTGTAGTTACTATTTATATGAAATGGTGAAAACAGAATAAGAATACATCGATTTCGACGATTCGAAATGTTGCATTTGAATGGAAAGGGATGTTCCTTTAAGTTACTGGAGTTTGAGTTGAGTTCAGGATTTGTTGCAACTCCATTTCCAGGACTTATAAGCTTGCTTCTGTTAGTTTTCTTCCAAGGAAAAAAAAAATACTACTCCCTTCAAGTTTCTTTTCAAATATAAATTAGATTATATTCATTTGATATTTTAAAATAAAATTTTAGATATTCAAAAACTATATAGAAAATACTATAAATTGCAATTTTTTTCAAATCAATATGATGAAAAAATACATCTTAAAATGTTAGTCAAAATTCATATCGTTTGAATCTCAAAAAGGAAACTATGACAACTAAAAAGAAACGGAGGAAGTAATTTTAAACTTTCTATTTTACGCTAAAGGGCATGATTATAGATAGTCACACAAATCTCTTTGGCATGTTTAAGACCACAAGTTTTAAAGTACATCTTTCTATCTTTCTATCTTAAACTTTATGCTCAGTGAAAGGAGTTTACATACAATGAAACAAAAGGAGTGATATTTTGTTGACATTATTATCTTAACGGTCTTGATCGTTGTTTTGGTTGGTGAACAAGTTATATTGAGATTATAATACAATTAATTAGGTACTAACGGGAGTTTCTATACACTTCAATGTGAGACTTACTGGTGCAAATCCAGATTTAGTCAAGCCCCAAAAGGAGTGATATTTTGTTGACATTATTATCCTAACGGTCTTAATCACATTAAGGGGTTGTTTTGGTTGGTGAACAAGTTATATTGAGATTATAATACAATTAATTAGGTAATAACGGGATTTGCTATACCCCTCAATGTGGGACTTGTTGGTGCAAATCTAGATTTAGTCAGACCCCAATGCAGGTACGGGATACCGAGTGGAAAACCAAAAAAAATAAAATGAAAAAAAAGGCAACAACTAAATAAGATGGATCATCATACAATTATGAACAAAAAAATAATATCAAGTTAGAAACTTTCTCCTCCTTTTCACATCTAACTTCATATGTAATACAGTCTTTGCTAAATCTTGTTTACCTTCTCTATTGAGCCCATAGAAGACAGTTCTATAATTAACTGTACTAGGAACAATCCCAACATCCAACATTTCAGATATAAGTTGAAGAGCTTCTTCAGAATAACCAATCCTACATAGACAAGAGATGAACATGGAGTATGCCTTGAAATCAGGATATGGTCCATTCTTTTTCATCTGATGAAACACATCCCGAGCCTCGGAAACTTTTCCCACGTTCATGTACCCTCGTATTAACGCTGAGTAGGTAACTATAGTTGGTTGGCAGCCTGAATCTTTCATTTCTTTGAAAGTTTCAAGAGCCTTTCCGGCCTGTTTCACTTTGAAGAAGTAGCCAATCAAGGAAGTATATACATGGACTGTTGGATGAATGCCTGCCTGCTTCATGGATTCGATTCTTGCCAATGCTTCTTCTAACTGCCCTTTTTGTAGTAGTCCGTGGACTAAACTTCCGTAGACGTACTGGCTCAAGACATGTTGCTCGTCATCAACTTCGTTGATCAATGCTAAAGCCTCTTCCAGCCTCCATGCTCGACAAAGTGATCTAATGTACAATGAGTATGCTAAAGGGGTACTGAAACCGAGCTTTAGTAAAGATTCAGTACAGTTTCTGGCATCCCTTAATTTACCAAGTTCACACAGACAACCAAGATAATCTTCGATTAGTTCTTTATCAGGACTGTGTCCAACTTGAATCATCTCCTGGAATATTTTTACTGCTTCATCAACTCTCCTACCTTTTTTCTGACAAAGAGATGTAATCAAAGCTTTGTACGTACTTTCTGTCGGTTTACAACTGCTGTCTTTCATTTCTTTAAAAGTACGAACAGCAATATCGGTGAGTCCTGTTCTCCCATACTGCATTATCATGATTGTCCAAGTATGAGCTGTTACTAAGCAACCGTTTCTCCTCATATCGGAGAATAGATTTCTCATCTGAGTGAAGTCCTTGCCCTGTCCTGCTATTTTAATAGCTGTATTGTAGGATTCCATTGTATGTCTGTAACTACTTTGCTTCTCAACCCAAGAGAAAAATTGCAATGCTAACCGACCTTGCAGCCTGAAATTACGCAAAACTTCCATGACGATTTCTGGGGTGAACTGTATGTTGCATTTCTCCAATTGTTCTTGTATTAAGTACCAATCCCTCGATGAAATCAAAATTTGGCAAACCTCATGTACATCACATTCAATAGAGGATTTTGAAATTGCCTCTGGCATGTCATGAGCTGAGGACACTTGTTCTAGGTTTTCTGAATTTAACTCCAAGTATTGTTCTCGTTGACTGCTCACATCACGTGTTTCATTTTCTTGATTGTGAACTTCACAACCCCCCTGTAGCAGCTTGATCATGTTGATGTTCTTCATATCTCCTTTTCTCTCCAGGTACGAAATAACATACTGGAATATATCGTTTCCAATAAACATCTTAGAGGCTTTCATTTCATTCAGAACCTTGAAAATATCCGTTGTCCCTGACACCTTGGTAAGTTCCTTGACAAATATGAGGTACGATTTCCGAGTAAAGACAATTCCTTTATCCTTCATATTCTCGAACACTTCCCACATTTCAGAAATACGGTTTTGGATGATATAACCTGCAACTACAGCAGTAGCTGCAACAGCATCCAATTTAACTCCCATCTCTGTCATCTCATTATAGAGGTTCAACGCTTCTTGAAACTCTTTAACCCTGAAAAGGTGCTGCATCAGATTGGTATAAGTCGAAACGTTGAGCAAACTTCCCGAATCTTTCATGCTCTGAAACAGATTAAGTGCCTTTGAAATTTCATTTCTCCTCAAGTATGCACTTATAAGGACTGCATAAACCTTCTCATCAGCACCGTTTCTTTTCTTCAAAATTTCAACAATCTCTAATGCATCATTGATCCTCTCAGCCTTGCACAGTCCTTTCACCAATGTTGTAAAAATTTCAGAGTCAAGGTTTATGTTTTTACTTTTCAGATCACGAATCAATTCCAAAGCTTCTGTAATCCTCCCCGCAATGCAGAAACTCTTAAGCATAAGGCTGTAGACGCGGTTTTCTGGAATACTACAAACCCTTATCATGTCGTCGCCAACTTTGTGAACTGCAGCAATATTTCCGGAGTTAGCCAAGCATTTGAGTAACTGTCCAGACATAGCTGCATCCAGCATCAAGCCTTTATGGATCATCTCGTTGAAGTACTCCAAAGCTATGTCAGCTTTTCCAGCATTACAAAGTGAACTCAACATGATCGTATAAGCCCTTAAATCGGGCTCATAACCTAACTTCTTCAACTGTTCAAACATTGACAACGCTTTGCCAATCAACTTTCCATTCCCATAATGCGATAGCAAAATGCTCCACGTCTTAAGGTTTTTCTGACAAGAACTCCTCTCCATTCCTTCCACCAATTCATCAACCAAACGAAACTCTTTACAGTCCACAGCCATGTAAATCATCGTGTTATAAGTCTCCGTAGTATGACTAAACCCTTCTCTTGTTTTCAACCAATCGAAAAACCTCAAAGCTAAATGAGGAACTTTAAAACACCTCTTCAAAACCTTCTCAACGACCTCCTCGTTATACTCAAAACCTGCACTTTCCAACCGTTCCTCCATGGCGATCACATCACATTCACTCCTCAAAATCCCCGTAATGTTGTGAACTATAGAACTAACATCCCTTTTCACCGAATCCTCAACCCGATTATCTTTGTGTAAATTCATCATTTCCAGCTCTACACTCTGCTTCACATTTCCACCAACACATGATGAATCCTTCAGCTCTATCCTCAGCTCAGCATTTCCACGAACACGTTCCGTGCAAGACGATGAATCCTCCAGCTTGGCATTTTCACAAACAAGTTCTGTGCAAGATAATGAATCCTCCAGCTCTGTACTCTTCTTGGCATTTTCACAAACACTTTCCGGGCAAGACCATGAATTCACGAATTGGGTGTCCTTTAAATTTGCGGATTCATATGGCATTACACTCCCTGTTCCTAAAATCTCTCTGATTTCATTGAAGAGTGAAGTAAAATTCTGGGGTTCTTTCTTGTTTTTCGAATTTGGGTTTTCAGTTTTCTTCAATTTGTGAAGCTTAGATGACTTGGTGGAGATTGAAGAAGAAGAAGAACAAATCTTGAATCTTGAATTCAACAGATTATTCCCAGAAATTTGAAGCTTTTGTTTGCATAGATTTTTCAAAATCATTCTACTTTGGAACATTGTTTGATAGTGGCGCCAAGGATGTTTTTGTATATATATAGGACCTTATTTCTCGAATACGTAAACGTGTTTTTTAACTTGGATTCACGTGTATGTATGTATTTCAACTTTGGTTTGGACAAGTAGACTTTTATAAATGTGTATAAAGTTGAATAATAAATAAATAGAATCGTTCTACATGACAATTTGTATAAGATACACTCGAATTGATTTATATTATGTTTGCGTAGGACACATATTATGACACGTAAGATGTGTGTGCCTACTCTAGTCTATTTTTGATTGAATACATAATAATGTGTTCTTGTTAGATACTTACGACCAAAAATTTTAATAAGTTCATATGCGTGTTTTCAAGAGTTCATTGTGTTAATAAGTTGACCACTTAATAGACACTTAACAACATGCACAAAAGTTACTGATAAGGATTGTGATAGAGTGGTAAGTACTCATTCATCCTTAATTAGAGGTCCTGAATTTAGGTTCCCTTGAATGCGAAATCGCCTTTGTTAGGGAGCACTTTACAGTGTATCTTAATATGAGATTTTTCGGCTCGAATTCAAATTTAGTCGGACTTTAATGTATATTCAATTCTTTTTAATAGTAGACTATGAAATAACATATTGTGCTTCTATATGCAACATGATTTGTAGTTTTCTAAGGGTGTGATGTGATTAACCAAATTCATCTAATTCTTAATAACATTTCGAGTTCGAGCTTTAAAAATAGAAGATTTAAAGCATTTCTCCCTTTGATGGTACTTATTAATAGTCTGTTTTTCTCCGTTAATAATTTCATTCAAAAATGAGAAGAGGGGGAAAAAAAATGAAAAAGAGAGTAAATATGGATTCAAATTGATTTGTTTTGAAACGGAACAAAAAGAAAAGGAAACTAAAAGCTTGAGATATACAGTCGTCTTTAATAAAGAACGATTTATCTTGTAAAGTGAAATTTTGTTATAAATCAACTGCAGCCCAACATAAATTTTAACGTCACGGAATCAGCTATTGGACCCAAAAGGTTGATTTGAGATTCAGACCCAATTAGCAACTAGTTTAAAAGGAAGAGAAGTTAGAAAGAGAGGTTATGCTTATCGTTGTGTGAAAGTTTGGTTCTCCCCATCTCCCTTCCGAAGTGTCTATATTTTCTCTTCTCATCTCCCTTCCTCGGTCTATCAATCCATAGTCTTACTTTCGATATTTCTATATGTTTGTTTGGGGCTTTTACAATTTTAATTGTCATGTTTACTTTTGGGAATTTTAATTGAAATTTAGTCCTATTAATATATTTGAAAAGTGGTTATTGTTGTATTGGATTTGAGCTTTTTTACAAATTCTTTAATGTGAATTAAGATTAATCGAGTCTCAAAATGATGTCAGCTTTTAGGCAAAAAAAAAGGGAGATATAAAAGATATACAATGTACATACCTGATTTTGTTTACTCAATTAAATGTATGTAACTAATAATTAATCGAATATGGTCAAATATAAATTACCTACTTTCCATTTTACTATAATATTTGGATTAGCTTGGCGTGAAGTAAATAAATAAACATTAAAATTTAATTGTTTCTTTTGGGACAATTTCTCTAATTCCCAATTGTTTTTTTTTTAACAATTCATCGTTGAAATGTTGGGGTAAAAAATATACAAATAGGTCATAGGTTTTTTTTCTTTTGTTGTTGAAAATGTCATAGTTGAGATTTATTCTGACTTAAAACAATTTTTAAACATCTTTTTTATTTTTTATTTATTATCACTATATTAAAATGTTTCTCTATGTCATTGAAATTCAATAGTTGAGATGTAACCTAAAAATTTCATTTTATATTAAATGTTTCTTTATGTCAAGAAAATTCAATAATTCAGATGTCAACAAAAGGAATTAAATCATTTTTTTAACTAGTTACACTCCGATTAATAATTACAATGTGAAAATTATAATTTTTTCACACTACGCAATAGCTTAACAAACCTCATAAAAAATCATAATAAATAATAACTCTATCGACGATAACTATAACTATTACGATTTGACGGATCAATTTCCCTCTTAGCCCTCCGACGGAGGCCGGCGGCCGGCGGTAACAATTTTGTTTTAAATAGTCAAAAAAATCTATGGCATTAAATTAATTAATTGAATAAAAAATCCAAACAAAATTAAATTAATAGAATACAAAAACCAAACAAAATAATCCAAAATTCAATCTCTTAGTGGCTTACCACTTCTCATAAGACTTGTCATTCTATTTTTCTATTTTATTTATTTATATAGCAATAGAAGACTTTTAATAATTATCCTTTTATTTATTTGGATATTTTTTCTTAGACCCCTACAACTTTGTTGACATGTTCAAGCATACCCTCCAATTTTTTAGGATCAGTCTTTGAGTCGTTCAAATTTGTAAAAGACAACAAAATCAATTAATTACGTAAACAAAATATTCAAAGTTGTGACACACCATCGTCATTTTACTTAAGTATTCCTTAAATATTTTTCTTTTTGTACTTTAATTATAGGTTTTGTCCATAATTACGCAAGTTATAAAGAAAATTGACTTGTATTAGATAACTCAAATTAAAAGTCGAGTGTAATAGAGATGTCAAATGTAACACACGAAATGTTAAGATTTTTGAACTTTATCGATATATTGTTCGATTAGTTTGATATTTCATTTCATGTTGATTTCAGAAGTTTCAAAAAATGATTTTCATCTGACTGATCGAATCATAAACAAGACGTTTCATATGATCATTGAAACAAAACTACATAACTTTATAATAACTAAAACTAGAGGGAATAATATTATCAATTATTGAAAACTTTAGGGGTTTGAATTAAAAATTATTTCCATTCATCCAAACAGAAAAAACTGCCACTTTTTCTCTCCTTGTTATTATCTTTGTTCCTCGAAAATTTCTCCTACAATAATTATTTACAAACAAAAAAAAAAACCAAGAAATTTATAAATCCAAAAACCCTTTTCATTTCCGCTCAAAAAATATTTTAAAAAAATATTTTTTACGTAGTATTTATTTTCAAATTAAAAAAAGTCCCTTTTTTTTTTTACAAAGACTGAGTTTTGTTGAAGTTTTCTTCTTTATTACTCAAAAAAGGTTGGTGAATTTTATCATTGAATTCTTCAAAATACATTATATTATATTTTCTCTCAAAAGGGTTGTTCTAAAAAATCTCATCTTTTTGGCTCAATAAGCTCAGAATTTCATATGGTATGTTCTACATTATTCATTTTGTTTGATTTTTAATTTAGAGACACGTCCAAGATTTGAACTTTATGAGTTCGAGTGAGTCTGAGTCAAAGTTACTATGTTCGAATGAACTTGTAAAAAAAAAAGACCTTTTGTTATTAAGGGTGGCTTGAAGATTTGAATTTTAAGGTAGGTGTAAAGTTGCGTACATATCATCCTCTCCAGACCCTACTCGTGAAATTTCACTGGATATGTTGTTGATGTTGTTGTTAAGTTAAAGCTAGAATCTATTGAATTGTTCATGTTTTGTGAAGTAATTTATTTGGAATTTTTAAGTTTATAAAGTTGGAACTTTACTAGGTCAAGTTTTTTTTTCTTTTCTTGAAATGTGTGTTTGATGTTGACCTTTAATTGGTACCTACAAATTGCCAGAGTTGAAAATTTAGGTCAAGGATTTTTAGTTCTAAAGTATGTGAACTATGTGGTGATGTTTGATGTTGACTATGTACTCCTTTTATCGGAAAAAAATTATACTGTATATATCATGTTAAAATTGTATTTATATTAAGTAGATATGAGTAAGATCTTCTGCTAGATTACATTGAACATGTTGTTGTTGTTGTTGTAAGTTGATGTTGAACGTTTAGTTGTTTATATTTAAAATCCTGGCTCTGCCACTGATGTCGGATTATCATTTTCTTGATTTATTGAGTAGGTCATACTTTTGAACAAGGCATGGTTTACTTCTTCAAATACTATAAGGTCACCTCCTTTTGAGAGATGAGTTTGGTTTTTGATGTGTGAATAGCAATTAATTTGTAGATATAGATGGGGAACAATTGTGTTCATGCAAAGATATCAAAGGATGGATTCTTTAGCTCGTCTTGGTGGTCGCGATCACCTGAAATGATCACGTATGAGAAAAAGGAAAGTTGTTTTCAAGAAGGTCTTGATGTTGTTCAGAGTAATCCGCCTGAATTGGCGAAGATAGAGAGTAGGAAATCGGATGTACAAGGGACTGATCAGGTTATGATTATAGTGACAGATGAGAAGAAAGATGCATGGATGATGAAACAGGAAGAAATGATCACGATAACTGTTGATTTGAAACATGAAAAGACGGACAATGCAAAACCGAAGAAGCCTCATAATGTGAAGAGAATGGCTAGTGCAGGGCTCCAAGTTGATTCTGTTTTGAAAACCAGAACAGGTCATCTAAAGGAGCATTATAATCTAGGGGAAAAACTCGGGCATGGACAATTTGGTACGACGTTTCTTTGTATAGAAAAGGGAACGGGGAAGAAGTATGCTTGTAAGTCTATTGCGAAAAGGAAGTTGTTGACAGACGAAGATGTGGATGATGTACGGAGAGAAATTCAGATCATGCATCACTTATCAGGGAATCCAAATGTCATTTCAATCAAAGGGGCTTATGAGGATGCTGTTGCAGTTCATGTTGTGATGGAGTTATGTACTGGTGGTGAGCTCTTTGATCGGATTATTAAACGAGGGCATTACTCGGAGAGACAGGCTGCTGAGCTTGCAAGAACAATACTCGGGGTGGTAGAAGCTTGTCACTCTCTCGGAGTGATGCATCGTGACCTTAAGCCTGAAAATTTTCTCTTTGTCAATGAGGAAGAGGATTCACCTCTTAAGACTATAGATTTCGGGCTTTCAATGTTCTTCAAGCCAGGTATCTGTCCATTTCCCTTCATATTCTTTGCTTTTATCGATACATAAATTGAGATGGAGGGAGTAATAGATTCCGTCCATCAAAAATGAACTTTTCA